GTACCTATGATAAAAATAACAGACTTCTACATGCTTTGTAAGTAGAAAAACCTGCAAAATCGGCAGTGTATCAAAAAAAAAAAAAGATCTGCCTTTATTCCACTCTCAGACCAATTTTTGCTAGTCATCGTCAACTCATTGCCTAATGCTTGTTTGCATACTTTAATTATCTTTATGGAGTCAGAAATATTTTAATAGGCTAATTGCTTATCACAGGGCGCACGTGAGGTAGATATGTTATACATACAGTACCAGTCAAAAGTTTGGACACACCTACTCATTCAATGGTTTTTCTTAATTTTTTACTATTTTCTACATTGTAGAATAATAGTGAAGACATCAAAACTATGAAATAACACATATGGAATCATGTATTTTATATTTGAGATTCTTCAAATAGCCACCCTTTGCCTTGATGACAGCTTTGCACACTCTTGGCATTCTCTCAACCAGCTTCACCTGGAATGATTTTCCAACAGTCTTGAAGGAGTTTCCACATATGCTGAGCACTTGTTGGCTGCTTTTCCTTCACTCTGTGGTCCGACTCATCCCAAACCATCTCAATTGGGTTGAGGTCGGGGGATTATGGTGGCCAGGTCATCTGATGCAGCACTCAATCACTCTCCTTCTTGGTTAAATAGGCCTTACACAGCCTGGAGGTGTGTTGGGTCATTGTCCTGTTGAAAAACAAATGATAGTCCCACTAAGCCCAAACCAGATGGGATGGTGTATTGCTGCAGAATGCTGTGGTAGCCATGCTGGTTAAGTGTGCCTTGAATTCTAAATAAATCACAGACAGTGTCACCAGCAAAGCACCCCCACACCATAACACCTCCTCCTCCATACTTTACGGTGAGAACTACACATGTGGAGATAATCCGTTCACCCACACCGCGTCTCACAAAGACACGGCGGTTGGAACCAAAAATCTCAAATTTGGACTGCAGACCAAAGGACACATTTCCACCGGTCTAATGTCCATTGCTGGTGTTTCTTGGCCCAAGCAGGTCTCTTCTTATTATTGGTGTCCTTAAGTAGTGGTTTCTTTGCAGCAATTCGACCATGAAGGTTTGATTCACACAGTCCACTCTGAACAGTTGATGTTGAGATGTGTCTGTGACTTGAACTCTGAAGCATTTATTTGGGCTGAAATTTCTGAGGCTGGTAACTCTAATGAACTTATCCTCTGCAGCAGAGGTAACTCTGGGTCTTCCATTCCTGTGGCCGTCCTCATGAGAGCCAGTTTCATCAAAGCGCTTGATGGTTTTTGCGACTGCATTTGAAGACACTTTCAAAGTTCTTGAAATGTTCTGTATTGACTGACCTTCATGTCTTAAAGTAATGATGGACTGTCGTTTCTCTTTGCTTATTTGAGCTGTTCTTGCCATAATATGGACTTGGTCTTCTACCAAATAGGGTATCTTCTGTATACGCATTAAGAAGGAAATAAATTCCACATTCACTTTTAAGAAGGCACACCTGTTAATTGAAATGCATTCCAGGTGACTACCTCATGAAGCTGGTTGAGAGAATGCCAAGAGTGTGCAAAGCTGTCATCAAGGCAAAGGATGGCTATTTGAAGAATATCAAATATATTTTGATTCATTTCACACTTTTTTTGGTTACTACATGATTCCATATGTGTTATTTCATAGTTTTGATGTCTTCACTATTGTTCTACAATGTAGAAATACAGAAAATCCCTTAAATGAGTAGGTGTGTCCAAACTTTTGACTGGTAGTGTAAATTATCAATATTACCACACTACACAGATAGAAGAACTAGTAGAGTCATTTTGGTTGTGAAATGCATTAGCAAAAAGCTTTGTCCTTTCTTTAGAACAAATGTACCACTTGGCTGTCTATTATTATATCACCCTGTCACAGGCCCTCCCAGTCAACACCACCTCATAAGATTGCCTGCTGCAGTTTCTCAAGAGATTTCCAGTTTGCAGCTGAACATGCAGGTTAGGGAAGACCAGCAAGGGGGCCCTCATCAGCATCATGCAGACATGCCCTCGCTGTGAGCATTCCTAGGAATGGAACAGTTAGCCACATGTTGGCAATTATCCAGCCAGCCACTTTCACCTGTCAGTGGCAACAGCTTTCACAGGCTCATCATTTGTACAAATACAGAAGGTAACCAACTTCATTACTTTGATACATTTGATAACATAATTGTGAAACAATTTATGTAAACTAACATTATTTGTTGCTTTCTACTTCTTAGATGCATATAATGTCTAGGGCATAACCTAGTCTGGTGCAACCAGCCTGATTGCTGTGTTCACCATTCTATTTCACTTCACATTTTATATGATATCTGAAATGAAATAGAAAGGTGAACACAGAGATCAGGTTGGTTCCACCAGGCTAATTATAACCACCATTGATAATGTAATTAATGCTCTGTGTGTTTGTGTGACCACCAGTATCTTTGATAAGGGGCCAGGTGCTGATCTACGCTGCTATGCCGATCAATGGGGTGCTGGCAAAGACCTCACCTCCAGCCTCACCTCTTGTCTGCTCACCAACTGTCATCGATGGGGAGAACATATTTTGGTAGGTTTAGTCTGACCTGTTCAAACTTCAACATAGGTGAAATCAGACACACAAACATATACTATCTCTAAGGGACTATATGTTATTTCTAATGAGGGTTACCTGGAGAAAATCGTACCTCTCTGAAATGAAAATGGATGGCCCTCCCTTCAGTAAAATATATTTTAACCTGACCGTCCCTGAATGCTTGAAAGAAAAGAAGTGACCCTCCCCTATACCCAAAATAATAATAAAACATAACGTGGATAGCAGAGAACATGCCTACTGTTTACCCTCACTCCTAAGACGGATCAGAGCCTTAGGTATGCAGTTTTGTAAGCATTACATGGCAAAGTAGCCAGAAGGTTGCGGATTCGCAGACCACCGCGGACAAGGGTAGTTGTGAAAAGACCTCCATTATAATAAAAGCACTGCATTAATCTATCTTCTTATTTGCAGTCCAAGGAAAAAATGTAATTTTATCAACGCTTTTCATTCAATTGTATGTAATTTTATGTGACTGGAAGCAAGCAGAATCTTATTTTAATACCACAACAGAGCATGACAACGAATGAGCGCATGCTACAGCACCGGATATTTCTATACAGGCAATTGTTTAAAAAGAGGAGAGTCTTAAGATTGGAACAGTGCTAAAGTTGACTCTCAACTGTCAAAATGTAGCGCAACAAGTATCTGATTATCAATGAATTTGGGAAAAACCCATTTTGTTTTTTAACATAGCAGCCACATATAATCTGGTAGGCCTATATGCGCTTGTAACTTTTTTTTAATTTGGGAAATTATCCTTTTCTAATTCATCTATTTTATTCTATGATATTGTTGTTACAAAATAGATTGTGTTGACTGTGATTAGGGCATGGAAATATAAGCGCATCTGCTAGGCTAAATTGACAAACTAGGCATGCAAAGCTCACCGCATGATCCTCAAACCAAAGACTGGCCAAACTTGTGTTTCTAAAAGTTAATTCAAATGACTGTATAGCCTAATAAGGCATTTTTCATTTCATTATTATTTCATTCTAAGTAATAATTTTGTAAAATTTATTTTTATACAGTCTAAATGTGAAATTTATAGACATGTTGTTGAAGTGCTGTTGTTGATGTGTTGTTGAAATGCTGAGCGTTCCTTCCAGCCTGTAGTGCAGGGGTGTCAAACTCATTCCACGGAAGGCCGTGTGTCTGCGGGTTTTTGTTTTTTCCAATTAATTAAGACCTAGACAACCAGGTGAGGGGAGTTCCTTACTAATTAGTGACCTTAATTCATCAATCAAGTACAAGAGTGGAGCGAAAACCTGCAGACACTCCATTGCTTAGGCAGCACAAGATGGTTTACATCAGCAAGAGCAGGGCAGGCCAGGGCTTATGATTGGGATAGCCTATCCATTGCCGTGTGTAATGCAGTGTAGCCTAGTTTTATATACACCATCCCAGCAGCGCAAAACTTGGAAAGGAAGTACATTTTCTTAGAAATTTAACCTTGCCATGTGCTTCTCCGAGCATGCTCTTCGTATAGCCAAGGCCTATTGCCTATAGTATACGCTATGGATCATTTGATTGAGATCACACTAGGCGCACTTGATATTGCGTGCACAGCAGATAATCAGGGATGAGGGGCAGCATCGGGCACACAGAGATATAATAAGCAACTAAATCTCTCAAACACTGAGCAATATGACATTTAATCGATTACAAATTAAATGACCCAATTTTTACCCAATTGTGTAAATTTCGACCGCTCCCTAACTGCCATTGGTAATAGAACAGTGACTGTGTGTTTGTTCACAGAAACATGTATGGAGCCAGCACATGGAGATGATGTGATGAAGTCCAGACTGACAGACGGGCTTGATACTGACGTCTCTGAATGGAGAGAGACCTGGCACACGGCATAAACATTTTACTACACACAGCTTTTACTTGTATTGTCTTCTTTTATTATAGAATTGAATGGTATCAGTCAATATGGGGAGGGAGAATCCCTGTGTATTCTGCAGCAGGATCAGGGAACTTCTGTTGTATACGAGACACCACACAGGAAGCTATGATCACTCTGTTTGCCAAGGTAGCCTCATTACCACCAGACAAAATGTCGATAGGCACAGTATCCGTATCGGCTGGGAATGACAATGAAAAGTGAAAGGTGCACATTGTTATATTAGTACCATAGAAGCAGTGTTATGCTATGTAAATGGTTGTTTATTCTACATGAACCTGTTAGATTTTAAAGTTATCAAAACACTTAGTTTAGAATATCTACATACATTCTCATATTACTCTGCAGGCTATTGACCTATTCAAAGCTTCCTCTGGCATCTCACCATACATCTGCCTGTGGTTATTGAACTCATCCTGCAGGAGGTTTATTTGTTGTGATTGAGTGGGGGGAAACGGCTGTGGGCAAGGTTCTGAAACACCCACATCAAACCACACCCCCCAAGCCAACTCACATTTGGCTTCTGTTATGGCCGCCAGCATTACTTGAGGAGCAAGCCAAAAAACGAGGCCCAGCGGGTGCAGTTCACCTTTAAGTGATAGTTGATCTCTGTGACTCTGTCTAATGTTCCACTCACTCCCACTCTTGCAGTGCCATTAAGAAGAAGAAGCCTGCTCTCTTTGCCCCTGTCGTGCCTCTCGGCTTCGTCCTGGCCTATCAGATGGACATGGCATATGGAACGCTAATCTACCGAATGAGGGGTAAATACTTCTCTCTTTACCATGTGTACAGACAACTGACCCAAAACATATTTTAAGAACTCAGATATTTTATTTTCACATTGTCCTTTCCACCACGGTTCCAGCAACTATGCTGGATGCGTAACCAGGCCAATGCAGTACAGCTCGGCTCAGTAATGTAAAAAGGGTATTTTAGCTCACAATCACATCTATTAGTGATTTCACCAAGATTAGAACGAGACAGGGTTGTCAATCACCCAATTTCAGTATCAAAAACCACCTCAAGAAGAAAAAGACAGATCTTGCTTTGATTTGTGTGACTTCTCTCTGTCAAACTTAAAACATTCTGTGACATCACAGATCGTGCCTTGTGACAGTGGTTATTGGGTTCCATGGTCATTAGGTATGGAGAAAGCCATTTAGATACCCTGACCAATCTCCAATAATTGGCTACCTCTCAGGGGAACATGGGCTGCTTTTAAAGCGTCACCACTTCACAAAAAGACTTGGTTAGATTTTCTTTCAGCCAACCAGAAACCGTCCAAGGCATCTCCGCCCTCAGATAAATTGAAAGATACATTAAACCTGGGTAAACAATATTCTTGCTGTAGTCAGTTACTACAGTATAGGGTAGACGTAATTTCAACAATACCCACGGCAGACCACCACAGTTTAATATCAGTATCTTAGTTGAAAGCAATACACTAATTTCTGTGATCTGAAAGAAAATGGACAATAAAGAATTCTTCTTTGCTTGCTTGTTTCCTTTGCTATTTGATTGATGTCACTTCCTGCCTGTTTGTGTCCCCAGGGGAGGCGGAGAGCATCATGGTCTCAGAACACGACCGATTGGACCTTCCACACGGTGTGCCCAACTTCGAGAGCATTGAGAAGGCAAGAAGAGCCAAGACCGCCCTCGGCTCCCTCTTTGAGAAATGACACTGACACTGCTATGGTGGGTGTGTTGTCCAGTGTCACACCTTTCTGATCTACACCCCTGGAAGTGAGTGAGTGATGCTCCTCCGTCCCAAGATCAACATTCATCAAGTCTTCACCACAGAGTTAAGCTGTGTTCACATGCTATCGGAATTATTGGAAACTCAGGACTGAGAAACTCCCGTAGTTCTCAGTCCTACGTAGTAAATACAAGTGAGAAACTTGTGTAGCATCGTTAAACCCTAGTTAGATATTTTAGAGTTTCCGATAATTCCGATAGCACATGAATGCGAAATTATACAGCCAGCCATGTACATAGGACACTTATTGAGCTGACCTAGGAATTACTGTTGTGATCAGAATCTGCATTGTTTTAGAATTATCCACACCAATGGTGTTCAGATATATATTTAATGGAAAATGGGTTAGTTCCATTTAAGCCTTAGAATTTGTGGCCACATTAAAATGGACTTCAATTGCTCACCAGTTGCAGTTCAAGATGCCTAAGATTAATGGTAAGAAGTCGCTACTCAGGCATGTCAAAAGTGTTTGTAAACGTTGTATAAAAAAATGAATTGCCATTGTAAAAGAAAAGTCGACTGCTGGTGATACTATTCGTAACTTCAATAAAATACGATTATCTGTACGCAGGACCATGTGGATATTTCTCATGACAAAGTTTACTTTCTGGAATAGAAAAAAATCATATTAACCAATTTCCACAGACATTCTTAATTTTCTGCTATCACAGTACCATTTCGACACACACAATGTTGGGGTCAGTTATTATCCGGTCATCATTTACAAACAGATTGTTTATTGTAGATGAAGATTTGATTGGAAGCAGTCTCGGGTGTTTAGCGCTGAGCTGTTTCCACACACCAAACCTGAACAGTGACATTTCACTGTAATTCTGCTACATGAAAGAATTTATACATTGAAAACAAAGAAAAAAAAGATTTGAGGTCATTCATTATTATGCATCTAAAGCGTCTGGAATCCTTTCCTACACATTCTTTGTGTGTGTGTGTGTGTGTGAGAGAGAGAGCACACCAGCTAGAGAAGTAGGGGTGCTGAGCGTGCTGCAGCATCCCCTGATAAATCAGAATTTCAAATTGTAAAAAATAAAACAAAGTAGTGCACTGGGCTTTACTACTAATGTATGAGAGGACCAAAATATAGCCATCAGCAGCTCACCAAAAAATGTCAGCACCCCCACCACTAAACATCTTCCAGCGGCCATGCTTGCATGCCTGTGTGCATGTGAGCAATTGTTGGGGGTTGTCATCAGGCGGATGTGGATGGAGTGTAGAGTAATATGACTCACACCCAGGATGGTAATGGTGTAGGGTTAGTGACTATAAAAGATGGACCAGTAGCAAACAGACCACAAGAAGCATCAAGGGATAGTGAGAGGCACCTAATGATATCCTATTGAAGTCTACATTGACAAGAGAACTTGGACTCACAGAACAGCATAGCATTCAAGAAGCTCAGAACACACCTGCACCAGGACCACACACTATAGGGTGACTTTAGTTCATCTCTCTCACAAGGAAACCAGCTCTACTTATTTAACTGAAAATGCTACTAAAGCTTTCTTTTGTCATCCTTGTGTGTGTTGGTACTTTGTTAATGTGTGCAAGCACTCAAAGCCTATCGAGAGACAATGGGATGAAACTGTGCGGAAGAGAGTTTATAAGAGCCGTTATCTTCACGTGTGGCGGGTCCCGTTGGAAACGGTCCTTAGATGAAGACTTGGGTAAGTAGCTACATCATTAAGGGTCTTAATGCAAACACTTGTCGATGATGTTGAACTGGTCAAACTTTTACTTTTTTCCGCAGCTGCAGTAAGACGTTGTTATAGCCTATTAATAGTGTAAATCTCATGTGACTTGGGCACCGCATTAAATCGTTTTTGAATTTTTGGTAGGCGTACTCGTCTTATTTTCAATTTTAAAAGATAAAACAAGTTATAGTCTAAAATTCCAAAGTTGCAGTCTAGTTTTCGAAAGAAAAGCGCATCTATTCAATCAAGATGTTGGTACATTTGGTCAATTCTGTCACAGAACGACGTAGATACGTCGCAGCTTGATAGTGGTAGCCTACTTCAGAACCACGGACTGCTTTTTCCTCAAAAAAATATGGTGCCCTGATGGACTGATTACTGAGAAGTAATAATTGAAACGCAATCAGCCTAAGCGACCCAACATTATTTAGTAATTTCCTATCTAAAAGTTGTTCAGAGCTCTTTCAATGAATAGCAAGGTGGACCTGCAATGTACTCAGCACGGTTTCTGAGCGTGATTCACTCAAATTAATTGTCAGGGTGTCTTGACACGGTGGAACAATTTTGAATTAAAAAAAGATGAACCCAACATTTTGTATTTTGGGAGATTTTCACTGTCATTTTATGTATTCACTTTTAGAGTTTGTGTACCTGTATTCATATTAGTCTATGCATTAAAGTTTAGATATTTTCTTTCAATAATGAGTGTCTCACTAGCCCCGTTTATACCTGGTTCTAACATACGTCAGTTGTCCTGATCTTGTCCACATTCTGATTGTGCCTACATTTGTCGACAGGTAGGCCTATAGACAATAAAAATACTCATTGTGAACTGATTTTGATTAGATCTCCCTGACCACCTCCGGAGATAGCCAAGACGCATTTTGTAAGGATATTCTTGAAGTGTAAACAAATCCTGACAACAAAAGCATAGTGTATACATTTTGCCAACTTCACCGTGGTCCCGCCATCATAAAATAAATCACACCGGCCAGTCGAGGTAGTAAGTATGGATAACGATAGGCTACCGCTACAATTCCTCCAGAATTAAGATCATGGTCTTCATTAGAAAGCAAGTGCCTACTGGCACTGTGATCGGATGCCATAGTCCAATAGAAATTAGATAACACGTACAGAAATAAAGATATCGTCCCGAATTAAAGAAAAAGGGTTCACACGTCCAATGCCAGCGCAAAATCAAATATTTGAAAACATCTTAAAGAAACGTCAAGGACTGTAATAGCAGGAGTGGGAACGGGATAACCCAATGCCCATTTTGTTTGGAGCTGGTCGCAGTTTTGTGACCATCCCATGATCCCACCAACGCCCACAGTTCATTCTGGACAGTGCTGTAGAGGATGGAGATATTGAATTGCTGAGCGCTTTATACACGTTTTTGTAATGTGAAAAGTCTAAGGGCTCTATTCAATCCGCATCTCGGAAATCAGCTTTGCAGCATGATTGAAATTGAAATGGTATCTTCCCGCTTTAGCTGAGACCGCGTTCACGGTAGACGCTACTTATGTCGGCTCATTCGGAAATTACCTTTACATATATAGGCTATAGCGGAATCTGTAACGTACAGATTGAACAGAGCCCTAATTCACGTTGCTATTATCAGATATGAAAATAATACAGTGGTAGGCCTATTATACTGAACCAAAATTTACCTAAATATAAACGCAACATGCAACAAATAACGATTTTACTGAGTTACAGTTCATATAAGGAAATCAGTCAATTGAAATAAAAAATTAGGCCCTAATCTATATATTTCACGACTGGGCAGGGGCGCAGCCATGGGTGGGCCTGGGAGAACATAAGCCCACCCACTATGGTGCAAGGCCCAGCCAATCAGAATGAGTTTTTCCCCCACAAAAGGGCTTTATTACAGACAGAAATACTCTTCAGTTTCATCAGCTGTCCGGGTGGCTGGTCTCAGACGATCCTGCAGGTAAAGAAGCCGGATGTGGAGGTCCTGGGCTGGCGTGGTTACACATGGTCTGTGGTTGTGAGGCCGGTTGGACGTGCTGCCAAATTCTCTAAAACGACAGTTTATGGTAGAGAAATGAACATTACATTCTCTGGCAACAGCTCTAGTGGACATTGCTGCAGTCAGCATGCCAATTGCACACTCCCTCAAAAGTTGAGACATCTGTGGCATTGTGTTGTGTGACACAACTGTACATTTTAGAGTGGCCTTTTATTGTCCCCAGCACAAGGTGCACCTGTGTAATGATCATGCTGTTTAATCAGCTTCTTGATATGCCACACCTGTCAGGTGGATGGATTATCTTGGCACAGGAGAAATGCTCACTAACAGGGATGTAAACAAATTTGTGCACCAAATTTGGGAAAATAATATTTTTGTGTGTATGGAAATTTTTTGGGATCTTTTATTTCAGCTCATGAAACATGGGACCAACACTACATGTTGCGTTTATATTTTTGTTCAGTATATAATACAGTGGCTTGTCTATGGACATTTTATAAAAATCCACTCTGGCTCTAAAGGTAGCCTACAGGTGGAAAATTAGGCCTACACAATATACACTATATACAAAAGTATGTGGACACCCCTTCAAATTATCTGCTATTTCAGCCACACCCGTTGCTGACAGGTGTATAAAATCGAACACACACCCATGCAATCTCCATAGACAAACATTGGCAGTAGAATGGCTGAAGAGCTCAGTGACTTTAAACGTGGCACCGTAATAGGATGCCACCTTTTCAACAAGTCAGTTCGTCACATTTCTGCGCTGCTAGAGCTGCCCCGGTCAACTAAGTGCTGTTATTGTGAAGTAGAAACGTCTATTTAATTTATTTATTTATTTAACCTTTATTTAACTAGGCAAGTCAGTTAAGAACAAATTCTTATTTACAATGACGGCCTACACCGGCCAAACCCGGACGATGCTGGGCCAATTGTGCGCCGCCCTATGGGACTCCCAATCACGGCCGGTTGTGATACAGCCTGGAATCGAACCAGGGGGTCTGTAGTGACGCCTCAAGCACTGAGATGCAGTGCCTTAGACCGCTGCGCCACTCGGGAGCAACAACGGCTCAGCCGCGAAGTAGTAGGCCACACAAGCTCACAGAACGGGACCGCAGTGTTGAAGCGCATAAAAATCTTCTGTCCTCATTTGCAACACTCACTACCAATTTCCAAACTGCCTTTGGAAGCAACGTCAGTACAATAACTGTTTGTCGGGAGCTTAATGAAATGGGTTTCCATGTCCGAGCAGCCGCACACAAGCCTAAGATCACCATGCGCAATGCCAAGCGTCAGCTGGAGTGGTGTAAAGCTCGCCGCCATTGGACTCTGGAGCAGTGGAAACGCTTCTCTGAAGTGATGAATCATGCTTCACCATCTGGCAGTCCGATGGACTAATCTGGGTTTGGCGGATGCAAGGAGAACACTACCTGCCAATGCATAGTGCCAATAGTAAAGTTTGGTGGAGGAGGAATAATGTTCTGGGGCTGTTTTTCATGGTTCGGGCTAGGCCCCTTAGTTCCAGTGGAGGGAAATGTTAACGCTACAGCATACAATGACATTCTAGACGATTCTGTGCTTCCAACTTTGTGGCAACAGTGTGGGGAAGGTCCTTTCCTGTTTCAGCATGACAATGCCCCCGTGCACAAAGTGAAGTCCATACAGAAATGGTTTGTCGAGATCGGTGTGGAAGAACTTGACTGGCCTGCACAGAGCCCTGACCTCAACCCCATCGAACACCTTTGGGATGAATTGGAACACCGACTGCGAGCCAGGCCTAATCGACCAACATCAGTGCCCGACCTCACTAATGCTATTGTGGCTGAATGGAAGCAATCCCCGCAGCAATGTTCCAGCATTTAGTGGAAAGCCTTCCCAGAAGAGTGGAGGCTGTTATAGCAGCAAAGGGGGGGACCAACTCCATATTGATGCCCATGATTTTGGAATGAGATGTTCGACGAGCAGGAGTCCACACTACTTTTGGTAATGTAGTGTACCTTGCCATACACTTGTCAGGCACTGTGCTCTTCTGCTGCGACTCCAACATAGTCCATCACATCATCCTCAATACATTTGTAGTAGGCCTATATCACTCTAACAACCCTCGATGAGTGAAAGAGACTCCGTTACTGAATTATCACTGATCAATGAGTTGGAGGAAACCAAACACGGTCATTCTCCCAGCATGTTACATTTCTGTTCCTTTGGTATAACTGTTTAGGTCTGGTATAGGCTAATGCAAAATCTTTTTTGATTTGATTAAATTCTGTTCTATTATATTCTGTGAATCTTTTAGCATTTTCCAGACAAATAGCTAGCAATAGAGTGCAGAAGATGTCCAAACTGATTCGTAAAGGCGCATAGCTCTCTGTAAGCATGAGCGAGGCCACTTCCACAATTACAAATAATTTGGAATAAAGTGTGTATGAGTGTATGAGCTGACGAGGTTATCGGCACAGTATTAAGCCCAGTCTTAAATTGTTGGTTAACAAAAGTAGGCCGTAATGATGAGAGTATAACTATTGAGTATAAAAGTATGCTTTTTTCTGTCGATTTACACAGCTTGTGTCATAAGGGAAGGTCCAAGGCAGGTTGGATTCATTTGCATACAGGGAGGGACCAGGGAATCTGGTCACAATGCATATGCAGCGGGCAGATAAGAGACATTTTAAATCCACGTGTAGAAGCAACAAAACTTGATCAGATAGTTATCGGCTCATCTTGATCGGATGATGACAACCAAATGTTAATGCAAGGTGTACTCACCGCTACTGACTGTCCCTCCCGATGCTCTGACCTCTTCCAGATCTCTTCCATGCCAGCTCCCACAGTGATGTCACAGAGGGCGAGGACAGCAGACTCAACTGGCCTCATGGTCTGGACCAGGCCGCAGTAGTAGACCACCCTCTCCAGCTCTCCTCCTCATCCTCCACCTCCCTGGCTGACCTCCTCTCACTCCTGGGTAGAGTGGGGGACCATAGTGGGTCAGTGGCCAACCTCGACCCCAGTGAAGAGCTCCAGAATCATGCATTGGTGTTGGGAGGAGTGGGGGGAGCCAGAGAGCAGGCCAGGAGCCCAAGCATCAATTGGCAACTCCGCGACAGGCGAAAGAGGAACTTTTCCTCGGGGGTAGCTGGCATGTGCTGCAACCAGGGCTGCACTAAGAATGACATTGGGCTTCTGTGCTGAGACTGGGGCAGTGGGCAACAGGATGGTGGTGAGGTAGAGCTGCCCTAGCCTGGGTTTATCTGACCACCTCCTCTATGTGTTATTGGAGTGAGGGTGACAGGTAGCCGTTTTCTTTTCAGTGTTTCATTAGGTTGTTGATGGGAGAAATTTCAACACAGGCTAGCTCAGGGTTTCCCAAACTCGGTCCTCGGGACCCCAAGGGATGCACGTTTGAGTTTTTCCCTAGCACTACACAGCTAATTCAAATAATCAACTAATCATCAAGCTTTGATAATTTAAATCAACTTTGTAGTGTTAGGGCAAAAACAAAACGTGCACCCCTTAGGGTCCCGAGGACCGAGTTTGGGAAACGCTGGGCTAGCTGTTTAAATGGCTTTGTACACTTCTGTATTATGTGAAAGGCAAATAGTTTGCAATTCATTTTCATTATTTGTTATTGCTCAAATTTTGTTTAATCATTAAATGAATTACTGCATTACTGAAGCAAGAGCACTTATGCACTTCCCTGAGAAATACAATTGTTTGAATGACATGAAAAATGCATCCGCCCTTACACCCACCAAGAATACCCCATTGAAATACTGTGAACATATGTTAAGTGTATGTAAATGTAAAACTCATTGAATATCAATATAAATTATATTTTGTATATCACATCTTGTCCACGTCGAAATGTCTCATCCACTTACTGGAAAAGCAAAAAATGTGCTAGCTATATAATAATGCATGGAAAGAACATATTGGCATTTATTCAGTTATTTTAATAAAACATACATGATTTCATGTCTGCATTCTACCTGGGGTAAAACCACATTATTATTGGCCATTACTCAATGTTTACTGTAGCTGACACCATGGAAACAGTCAGGTAATAAGGAAAAATAACCTCTTATTTTGGATTATCAGCTTTCTTTTGCTAGTTTTTTTCACTACTCTCCTGGTTCACCAAGGAAACGGTAACACAGTTAGCTAGTGGCCCTGACCTGCAGCCAGTAGTGTTTAGTCAGTCGTGAGGACAGGAGGATCAATCAGATACAATAATGGTTATGACAATGACTACCATACTTCCACAGAACATTAGTTACACTTACTATCACCACCATTACCAAGGTGTACCTGAGAGGGATTTCACACAGCTAGTTTTAACAGGGACTCACTGGTTTATGAGGATCCAACCCCATTTAGCCTCAAAGCAATCACAACAAATCACCACAGTTTTATCAGTGGGAGACCATTCTTGACTGTAGGCCTACTACACCGGAGTATTTGACAATGGTTTAAGTCACCAGTCACGCCTTAAATAGATACAAGTTTCTCTGAGGTGTGTGTGCGCCCATGTGTGCAATTACTTTTCAATACATTTCAAAACAAGTATTTAGATAATCTTTATTTGAAAGTACAGTGGGGAAAAAAAGTATTTAGTCAGCCACCAATTGTGCAAGTTCTCCCACTTAAAAAGATGAGAGAGGCCTGTCATTTTCATCATAGGTACACGTCAACTATGACAGACAAAATGAGAAAAAAAATCCAGGAAATCACATTGTAGGATTTTTAATGAATTTATTAGCAAATTATGGTGGAAAATAAGTATTTGGTCAATAACAAAAGTTTCTCAATACTTTGTTATATACCCTTTGTTGGCAATGACACAGGTCAAACGTTTTCTGTAAGTCTTCACAAGGTTTTCACACACTGTTGCTGGTATTTTGGCCCATTCCTCCATGCAGATCTCCTCTAGAGCAGTGATGTTTTGGGGCTGTTGCTGGGCAACACGGACTTTCAACTCCCTCCAAAGATTTTCTATGGGGTTGAGATCTGGAGACTGGCTAGGCCAATCCAGGACCTTGAAATGCTTCTTACGAAGCCACTCCTTCGTTGCCCGGGCGGTGTGTTTGGGATCATTGTCATGCTGAAAGACCCAGCCACGTTTCATCTTCAATGCCCTTGCTGATGGAAGGAGATTTTCAGTCAAAATCTCACGATACATGGCCCCATTCATTCTTTCCTTTACACGGATCAGTCGTCCTGGTCCCTTTGCAGAAAAACAGCCCCAAAGCATGATGTTTCCACCCCCATGTTTCACAGTAGGTATGGTGTTCTTTGGATGCAACTCAGCATTCTTTGTCCTCCAAACACGACGAGTTGAGTTTTTACCAAAAAGTTATATTTTGGTTTCATCTGACCATATGACATTCTCCCAATCCTCTTCTGGATCATCCAAATGCACTCTAGCAAACTTCAGAAGGGCCTGGACACATCTGGCACTGCAGGATTTGAGTCCCTGGCGGCGTAGTGTGTTACTGATGGTAGGCTTTGTTACTTTGGTCCCAGCTCTCTGCAGGTCATTCACTAGGTCCCCCCGTGTGGTTCTGGGATTTTTGCTCACCGTTCTTGTGATCATTTTGACCCCACGGGGTGAGATCTTGCGTGTAGCCCCAGATCGAGGGAGATTATCAGTGGTCTTCTATGTCTTCCATTTCCTAATAATTGCTCCCACAGTTGATTTCTTCAAACCAAGCTGCTTACCTATTGCAGATTCAGTCTTCCCAGCCTGGTGCAGGTCTACAATTTTGTTTCTGGTGTCCTTTGACAGCTCTTTGGTCATGGCCATAGTGGAGTTTGGAGTGTGACTGTTTGAGGTTGTGGACAGGTGTCTTTTATACTGATAACACGTTCAAACAGGTGCCATTAATACAGGTAACGAGTGGAGGACAGAGGAGCCTCTTAAAGAAGAAGTTACAGGTCTGTGAGAGCCAGAAATCTTGCTTGTTTGTAGGTGACCAAATACTTATTTTCCACCATAATTTGCAAATAAATTCATTAAAAATCCTACAATGTGATTTTCTGGATTTTTTTCCCTCAATTTGTCTGTCATAGTTGACGTGTACCTATGATGAAAATTACAGGCCTCTCTCATCTTTTTAAGTGGGAGAACATGCACAATTGGTGGCTGACTAAATACTTTTTTTTCCCCACTGTACTTGAATATTGGAATGTATTTGTAAATACTATTTGGAAAGTTTTGCATGTGTTTACTATTACTTGAAATACATATCATTGGAAGCATTTGAAAAACAGTATTTTCAAATAAATATTTGAATTATTTGGTATGCATTTGAAAATAGTTGTGAATGTACTTAAGTTTAGTTTGAAATCACAAACATCATATGTAGGACTCATTTGACTTATTAATCACAATATGAAGCCCATACTTTACATTGGTGTCTCATAAAAGAGGACAAGATGCCATGTTACATTTTAATAAACTTCAGGGTTTCTAAAAGCTTGTTGGACGTTGAGCAGCAATCTGGTCTGAAGATACGCCCTCCAATGCTGAAAAGCTGCTCCACAGCTGCGGAGGATGCTGGGACATGTAGGGTACTCAGCAGCAACTCTGCTCAGTGTTGGGTATGTGTGACTGTGTTTCTTCCAGAGGATCAGTAGTTGGTGGAAGATATGGGGTGATGAGGTAATCATCCATTTATTTGTTACTACATGCAGCCCCACGCTTGGTTGTTCCATAAAATCAAACATCTTGTCCAATCGACTTTTCTTCGCTGGTGGTGGTGGCTCCCTGTGTGGGACATCCTGTGTTGTGCTTGTGAACTTTGTGGCAAGATCATTGCATCAATAGCTCAGTCTATGAATTTGAGAATGGTTACATTTCAACAGCCCCATCCCTCAGTGGTTTACCAAAACATTAGTGGGGGGTGATTGCCTCTTTAAAGTCACTTTGACTAATTCATTGATTGAGCATTTACTTGGAACATCCATTTAAATAATTGTATATAAACATTTGCCTTTTTGCTCAACCTTTACAGCAAAGTATTTGAGGGCATTTGAAATATGTTTGGTGAAAATACATTTGAAAAGGGGTTCAAATAGTGTTCCAGGAAAGTTTCGAAAATACTTTGAAATACAATTTGGTATAATTTTTTATTTTATTTTACAAATAACCATTCAAATACTCAAATAAAAGAAATGTTTTGGGCTGTGTATTTGAAAATACTCAAATACATACAGTGAGGGGAAAAAAGTATTTGATCCCCTGCTGATTTTGTACGTTTGCCCACTGACAAATAAATTATCAGTCTATAATTTTAATGGTAGGTTTATTTGAACAGTGAGAGACAGAATAACAAAACAAAAAATCCAGAAAAACGCATGTCAAAAATGTTATAAATTGCTTTTGCATTTTAATGAGGGAAATAAGTATTTGACCCCCTCTCAATCAGAAAGATTTCTGGCTCCCAGGTGTCTTTTATACAGGTAACGAGCTGAGATTAGGAGCACACTCTTAAAGGGAGTGCTCCTAATCTCAGCTTGTTACCTGTATAAAAGACACCTGTCCACAGAAGCAATCAATCAAATCAGATTCCAAACTCTCCACCATGGCCAAGACCAAAGAGCTCTCCAAGGATGTCAGGGACAAGATTGTAGACCTACACAAGGCTGGAATGGGCTACAAGACCATCGCCAAGCAGCTTGGTGAGAAGGTGACAACAGTCGGTGCGATTATTCGCAAATGGAAGAAACACAAAATAACTGTCAGTCTCCCTCGGCCTGGGGCTCCATGCAAGATCTCACCTCGTGGAGTTGCAATGATCATGAGAACGGTGAGGAATCCGCCCAGAACTACACGGGAGGATCTTGTCAATGATCTCAAGGCAGCTGGGACCATAGTCACCAAGAAAACAATTGGTAACACACTACGCCGTGAAGGACTGAAATCCTGCAGCCCCCGCAGGGTCCCCCTGCCCAAGAAAGCACATATACAGGGCCGTCTGAAGTTTGCCAATGAACATCTGAATGATTCAGAGGAGAACTGGGTGAAAGTGTTGTGGTCAGATGAGACCGAAATCGAGCTCTTTGGCATCAACTCAACTCGCCGTGTTTGGAGGAGGAGGAATGCTGCCTATGACCCCAAGAACACCATCCCCACCGTCAAACATGGAGGTGGAAACATTATGCTTTGGGGCTGTTTTTCTGCTAAGGGGACAGGACAACTTCACCGCATCAAAGGGACAATGGACAGGGCCATGTACTGTCAAATCTTGGATGAGAACCTCCTTCCCTCAGCCAGGGCATTGAAAATGGGTCGTGGATGGGTATTCCAGCATGACAATGACCCAAAACACATGGCCAAGGCAACAAAGGAGTGGCTCAAGAAGAAGCACATTAAGGTCCTGGAGTGGCCTAGCCAGTCTCCAGACCATAATCCCATAGAAAATCTGTGGAGGGAGCTGAAGGTTTGAGTTGCCAAACGTCAGCCTCGAAACCTTAATGACTTGGAGAAGATCTGCAAAGAGGAGTGGAACAAAATCCCTCCTGAGATGTGTGCAAACCTGGTGGCCGACTACAAGAAATGTCTGACCTCTGATTGCCAACAAGGGTTTTGCCACCAAGTACTAAGTCATGTTTTGCAGAGGGGTCAAATACTTATTCCCCTCATTAAAATGCAAATACATTTATAAAATTTTTGACATGCATTTTTCTGGATTTTTGTTGTTGTTATTCTGTCTCTCACTGTTCAAATAAACTACCATTAAAATTATAGACTGATCATGTCTTTGTCAGTGGGCAAATGTACAAAATCAGCAGGGGATCAAATACTTTTTTCCCTCACTGTACCCTTTAATACTGTATGACTGCTTTGATATAAAATATCTGGTATTTTACAATCGATTTAGCCTAAGCATTATAACTCAAATTCAACACCAGCACATTTACATTCAACTCACAAACACAGGTAAATACTGGCTTGTATAAAACAATTAAATAAATACATGTTAAAACCCTTTCCTCTCCATGATCATATAATATCTATTTTTTAATGAAAAATAACAAATATGTTCACTCAAAACACTTTAACCTTCAAAGTTTTAACATTGACGTGGCATCATCTATGACTGTCAGCACGGATGCCATAACAACGTAAAATAAAAGGAAGACAGACAAACAAACTGACAGATAAAATATTCTCGTCCATTTTCTTATACTACTGATCCAGCAGAAGTGCATATTCATATTCCAGTGAGGTCAGCAGGTGAGATGATGCCACATTATTATAATATGGACTACTGTGACAAAGAGAAAAGTGGTTTGACATAATCCACTTGAGTTGAGGAGGGAGGCAGATGAACAGTCTTTACTTAACGTCTTCACTAAATGTACGTCTTCTGTATTGCTTTCCCTGATGTGTTTCTGTGCTGCTATTAGCATAAACATATACAACAGCTGAGTGTGTTTTGTCTGTGCTGGAGTCTGAGGCCAGAGCATGAAATTAGTCATAATAAGCACAGTGAAAACATCCCAGAATGGAGAAAAGATGACAACAAAGTAACAGCATGCAGTCATTTCCCTTCCCCAAATCTGTGAAAAAAGGGGTAGGTTTGCACACAAAGACAGACTTCAATATTGTATTTTTGTGATTTCTCACAGAAAGCCATTGGTAATCCTCCCCGTTTGATTCTCCTCTCTGCTCCAGAAGACCGTTGGCTCAGGTGACTTCATTGTCGTAGTCTTTGAGAGTTAAGGCGTCGTCAGGGTTGTATTCATTAGGGCACACAGTAGCAAAACGTTGTATAACGGAAAATGAAACAAGGTGATCGTGTGGGCTGGGCAAGGTCCCCTCCAGCAGAGACCTCCAGAGAGGGTTCCTCAGCCCTCTTTACTGTCTTGGAACGTGTCCACACTCTGGGCTAACTTCTTGAAGGTGGGCCGCAGGCCTGGGTCACCGTTCCAGCACTCTGTCATCATGTTGTGGATCTGAGGGGTAAATAGATATATTTGACCATTTTAAACACAATACAACCACACAAGTGGATAATGCATTTAAAATATTTGAGGATGACACAAAAAAAACGTATTTCCATTGAGGTCCTCTTAAATAAATGGTTCAAAAACATAACATAGTAGGTACAAGCTACACAGTAGACCTAGCCTACTAGACAGACTTGGGTTACACATACAGTATAACAAAACAAAGGACAGGATGACATTGTCATAGCCATAGAGCAGGACTCCCTCAGCAGATCGGAGTTAGATTATGGTTTGATGATGGTGATGCAGTTGATGTCATAGCAATAAAATTATGCAATTGGCTTGCCGGCTCTGATGTTAACCTCAGCCTCTCTGTAGCCTGTGATGCCTGGTGGTGATGGCCCTGATGTCGTCCACAGCTCAGCCTGTCTGTAGCCTGGACTTCGTATTCCACCACAACTAACGTGTAACACCCACTTGGGTGATGCCACACATCAGTCCAGTCCAGCAGTCATCCTCACTACGAGCTCTCTTCCATTTCCATAATGCAGTCAGGTATCCATTGATCAAGAAGCAGCGAGTGCTGAGATACATATTTTAAATGCAAATATTAGCCAGATAGCAAGCTAGCTAGACAAACCAGACAAGTCATCCTGCAATCAGTCCTGCAACTCCGTGGGTGAAAACAACCAGATATATCCAATCAACAACTCAATTACTTATCAAAAACAACAAAAAACACTTACAACATAACATACGTAATACATTTACAGAGCTCTCTGTTTAGACTGCCTTACGGTATTGAGGGAGGCTCAAGTTTAGATGGCAATCAGATCTTCACAAGATACAGAAACAGACAGACAGAGAGAGACAAACAGACAGTCAGCCTCACTTCCTCAGGACAGCCCTGGGGAGCAGGGAGTCTGTAACCTCTCTTCAGGAGATCAGTGAGGTGATACACTATCATCTGGCCCTGCTTGTCACTGCCCATCTTATCCATGAACACCTGGAGAGGAGGAGGAGGAGGGGGGGGGGTAAGAGCTGGGTTAATTACAGCATCAAATTCAGTTTAAGGATGCTAACTAATCAAATTTGCAAAGAGAAGTGCATCAGCGTAATTTTCTATTAACCATATACAGAGACCACATGGGACAAGAAAGAGTCTTTAATAGACATAATTACGACTACGAACAAGTCTTAATCAAGCTCTTTCCACTTTTGAACAAGTAAGCAGTATCAAAGAGAGAAAGGTTGATGGAGACAGTTGAGGGAGAAAAGTAATAAAGATGAAGAATGATAGTGTGAGGTAGAAGAAGATGAAGAATAGAGTAAAGGAGAGAGACGTACGGCTGGAGGACTGCAGTTCTTGTCACTGTGGGTGAACAGCTCGTATAGGACCATTCCAAAGCTCCACACGTCGGAGCCCACTGAAAACTTGCCCTCAGTCAGCGACTCAGGGGCATACCTTCAACACAACGAAGCAAAATGAGCTTACAAATATCAATAAACATACACACAGCATTCATAAAAAAATACCCTTTAAAGGGGGTTATAAAGAGTTTATAAGTAAAATATACAGTCAATCATTAGTTAAAATAGCTTATACAACATTATTAAACAGTAAATATTTTTTCAAAATGTAGGATTGTCATTTTGGTCATTGCCAAGTAGTGAGCTCATTTGTGGCTGTAACTTTATTAATAACAGTAACAATCGATTACTGTAGTACCCACGATTCTCCCACTGCCTGCTAAAGAAGTTGCGGCATTATTTCTCACCAGAAGATGGGGCTCTCTCCTGGCTCTCTGACGGTGTAGTACTCCTTGTCCTGAGGCAGGACCTTGGTGAGCCCAAAGTCTCCTATCTTCACCCTCAGCTCACTCTCTACCAGGATGTTACGGGTGGCCAGGTCTCTGTGGATGTAGCGCTTGGTCGCCAGGTAGTCCATGCCCTGCAGGAGCACACAGGTAAAGTTCAGTGAGTTCCTGTGAAGTTCCTGACAGTCCACAGTAACAAACACCAGTCTCCTGATTAGCAAGGGGTTGTCTGCATTCAATTTAATCAAGTAGTAAAAACACAGTTTAACATCATTTTGACGGTTCTGCTCCATTGGTTTCAATGGAAAATTGCTCTCTGCTGCATGAGTTTGTTGGACATAGCAACAGTAAATTGGGAGGACAGGACTTGAAAAAGGGTCAATCATCAGCAGCAGTGATGACATCTTTCTCAAGTATTTTCACAGTATTACAATGTACTGTGCTGTAACAGTCCTCTACCTTGCAGATCTGTGAGGCGTAATGCAGGAGCTTCTTGTAGTCGACGCGATCCTTGTTCTTGATGAGGTAGTCTCTCAGACTGCCGTGGGGGAAGTACTCCATGATCAGATGCAGGTTCCTCCGACCTAGGATAGGGTTAGCATTGAATAAACAGCACAGCAGTCAGATGCATAGCACTACAACACTTTAGCTTGCAGTAATTTACAGTTCTTGTTATGATGGTCATTTACTGTACAAAGCTGGGACATAGTAGCATGATTCATTTCAACAGTTGAATATTCAAGGAACAAAAAAAGAGTTCATATAAGAGATGACCGAGAGAAGATTGTGGTCATCACACTTTGCTCAACAGCAGAAAGACATATATTGATCTCACCAGCGCTGTAGCTCACTCCGTTGTACTTGACGATGTTGTCATGCTGGAGGGATTTGAGGATCTCTATCTCCCGTTCAAAGTCTCTGAGGTGTTCTGCTGTGCTGTGCTGCAGCTTCTTGACTGCCACCACCTCCCCTGTGTTGTCCTGCAGAGGGTCATACCTACACATCTCCACACTGCCAAAGTTACCCTGAGAGACAGAAAGAGGGGTGAGGAAGAGAGAGAGAGTGTGAATGATTAATCTCGGTTAACCCAGAATTTAAGTCTTGTGTAATTGGTCAGATACTTTATGTAATTGGTTAGATGTTCTGGGTCCATATGGGTTAAGAGAAGGATCGGGAACCGGAACGAAGAAGCTCCACCCTCTCGCTTTGCAAGTTATGGGCAAGTCTGGGCCAAATGTCCCCTCCCCTTCCGAAATTCTAAAGATGCTAACACCTGCGAAATCGTGATTTGTCCAAAGCATCATGATAGCTCTAGGGTACCATTTATGTTTACGTAGTCTGTCTACAAGAGATTTGTGAGTGATTGATAAATGAATTTAGCGAGAATGGAGAGAGAAAATCCAGGCTCTGTCGTAGCCGGCCGCGACCGGGAGACCCATGGGGCGGCGCACAATTGGCCCAGTGTCGTCCAGGGTAGGGCAGGGAATGGCTGGCAGGGATGTAGCGCAGTTGGTAGAGCATGGCGTTTGCAACGCCAGGGTTGTGGGTTCGATTCCCACGGGGGGCCAGTATGAAAAATAAATAAAATAATGTATGCACTCACTAACTGTAAGTCGCTCTGGATAAGAGCGTCTGCTAAATGACAAAAATGTAAAATGAAATGTAACGGCGCAAACGAGGGGAAAAATTACAACCAGAGACGGTGCATAAAATAGGAGTAAAGAGAGAAGGGAAGGGAAGAGAGAGAGAGAGAGTATGTGTGTGTGTGTGGTTGCGCGCGTGTTTAACCTTCCCCAGCTGCTTGAGGAAGATGAGATGTCTCTCTTCAAACTGAGCAGGCTCCTGGTTTTCAAAAGCCCCTGGGACCTAAACCCTCTGGTCCTGTTGGGCACCATGTCACTCTCCACCAGCAACTCATAGTCTGGGACAGGAGACAGGAGAGAACACAATCAATACCAAGACCTTCTGTAAATCAACTAAATAATAATATGCTAATCTAGCAGACACTTATCCAAAATGACCCTTAGCCTATATTCTGTATATGTAGTCCATGCGAGAATTGAACCCACAACCCTAATGTTGCCAGCACTATGGTTCAACACACTGAGCCATTGGAACAACATCAGGTCTTAGTAAAATGACTAGAATTACATATTTTTCTGTCTGCAGAGCAGTAGAAAGAGATGAGAGCTACTGACCAGGAGTGAAGAGGCTGTTGAGGTCTCTGATGACAGCTCTGAAGGAAGGTCAGTTGGAGGGTTCATAGTCCATACAGCCGTTGATGAGGTTGGCCAGCTCTGTCCACTTCGGAGCAGGCAGCTGGTGGCGGTCCTCATAGAACAGGCGTTTCTACAGAGAGAAATTATAAAGATCAGAGCTAGTACACAATGTTGATGTTTCTTCACTGAAACATTGGCATTAAATAGTATCCACTATATCCCTTCTTCTTGACCTCATGGAACAGGTATTTTTTCAAGCAAGAAAAATACCTTGAAGGCATATATCCCAAAACACGTTGGTTTCAATAATACAGATTTATTCTTGAAACAAATTTTAATTGTCCTACCAAGAGGAGACTACAAACTATGGCCCTCAAAACATAACACACCACAACAGAGGAACAAAACCTTACAGAGCTCGAAAGCTTTTCATTTCCTGCCTTTTATTTGATTACCTGCTTGTGAACTACCTTGATATTTCGGTGTAATTTACAGTGTGCTATACAAACAATGCTACAGAAACAGGAGATAGGCTCCTGCCCTATGGGCGTTTCTGGCTCGAACATGGCTTTCAAACTAAATGAACTATTATTGCTGTGATTAATATGAATTGCACAACAACAACACCTCCCCCAGTCTTTACCTTGGAGCAGTCCAGCGTGCTGAGTGGTTTGTCTCCTCCACTACAGATCTCCCAAAGGGTGGTGCCGAAGGCCCACTTATCTGTAGCCAGAGTCAGGTGGCTGGGCACCTCTATACACTCTGGAGGCACCCAGGGGATACGCTCCACCAAGACTGGAGGTCATAAAGAAGAAGAAGAGGAGGAGGAAGATGCGTTTCCCTGTGACAATGGACTATAAAGTAGTCCGCTTTACTACCCTACCACACTTCAGGTGAGAGTTGAGAGGGAGAGAGTAGTGGGGTGAGAATGCATTGGAGAGATTACTGTATATGTTCAATGAATGTCGTTTAAAAAAAAAATATCATTGCCACTGTGCAATAGCCACAAAAATAGCAGGCATTATAAAAATTACTACATGCTTTCTGCATGGTTAACATTTTTTGACGTATTTCCTAGTATCTCCTCTTGGTGGAGGAGAGAGGAGGGGTGGAGACGGGAGGAGTGTCATCTAATAATGTAGTATTTGTTTCCTTTGAAATATTTTACATGTAGTGAATACATTGCATCAACACTGCCTGAGGAAGACCTGTTTGGTTCTAAATGCCCTGCGCCATGTGGAGCTGTGTAACCAAGCCAAATGATCTGCACATAGTCCTGTAAACAACACGCAAGAGTTCAGTGAAGTATAATTTCTTAGTATCTCTTTGTAATAACTGATACAAGGGCTGGTGCTCACCATCTTTGGGCAGGACAGTGATGCTGATTCCAGGGTCACTCAGTTTGATGAAGGGAGGGTTCCCAGTCTTCTTGTCCTCCTCTCGGCTCAACAGCACGTTCTTCGCACACACGTTTCCATGGACCAGGTTCTTATCCTCCTGTTACATACAGAATATGACAGACAGATTTGTGGCAGATTACAAACAGAAGTAATACCATTAGGGTACTTTATATACCACGTAGCAGACGCAGTTGTATTTTCTATGTTTTATTGGACAGAGAGGAGAGAGAAAGTGGGAAAGATAGGAGAGGGCATCACTTCACCAGGGTTTCCTAAACTCGGTCCTCGGGACCCCAAGGGGTGCATGTTTTGGTTTTTGCCCTAGCGCTACACCGCTGATTCAAATAATAAACTAATCATCAAGCTTTGCAGTAGACAGTGGGTCAGATTCGAACCCATGTCAACATTGCTATGTGTGTTGTAGGCAGAGGTACTGACTGTTAGACCACCCAGGTCACATAGCAGACGCTTTTATCCGAAGCGATTTACAGTTCAGTGATTGCATACATTTTTTGTGTGTGAACCCTGGAGATCCTTCTATCAGATTACGATAGATTAGATTATCAGATTAGGGTCATTGTTTGCACTTATGTGGTGTATGTGGCAATGAAACTGTTTAATTGTTTTATTGTATAACTGACTGATTGGTCTTACTAGGTAATGCATCGCCCAGGCTAGCTGCTTGGCCACCGTTAGCTTCCAGGTGATGTTCACATAGCTCTTGTTCTTCTTCAGGTATGTATCCAGGGACCCAAACTTGACATACTCCTGCACCATCATGTCTGAAAAGCAAAGGATTATAATTCATTAATCACAGCTGTACTACTGTAGTACAATACAGTGATACATGCCAAGACTTGGTAAAATGGTAGAAAAGGGGACTTAAAACTGCCATAGAACTCCATACTGCCATGATGAGGGCAAGCCATTTCCAAGTTTCTATGGTTAATAAGGACTGGTGGGTAAAAGCATCCAATCTCCATCTCAATCTCCATGAATATTCTTATTAATACTGTATCAACTCAATCTTAATTGATCCATCCGAGTGTTGGATCACAGACATCTTTAAAACCAGGCATGACTAAGCATAGTGAGTGAAATACACAGAGTGTACAAAACATTAAGGACACCTTCCTAATATTGAGTTGCACCCCCCCTTTTGCCCTCAGAACTGCCTCCATTCGTCGGGGGAATGGACTCTACAAGGTGTCGAAAGCGTTCCACAGGGATGCTGGCCCATGTTGACTGCAATGCTTCCCGCAGTTGTGTCAAGTTGGCTGGATGTCCTTTGGATGGTGGACCATTCTTGATACACACGGGAAACTGTTGAGCGTGAAAAACCCAGCAGCGTTAAACTTCTTAGCTCAAACCGGTGCACCTGGCACCGAATACCATACCCTATTCAAAGACACTTAAATCTTTGGTCTTGCCCATTCACCCTCTGAATTGCATACATAAACATTCAATTTCTCAATTGTCTTAAGGCTTAAAAATCATTCTTTAACCTGTCTCCTCCCCTTCATCTACACTGATTGAAGTAGAGTTAACAAGTGACATCAATAAGGGATCATAGTTTTCACCTCGATTCACCTGGTCGGTCTATGTCATGGAAAGAGCAGATGTTCTTAATGTTTTGTACACTCAGTTTATAGTATCCTACAGACACTTCTTGTATACCTTGTATATGTGGAAGAGTTTCTTATGCCACAGAATGTGGAGAAGGCCGTCCCTTCTATCCTTAGGTTTTAAGTTTTAATGTCACGTGCACAAGTACAGTGAAATGCCTTTCTTGCAACCTCTAAACCCAACAATGCAGTAATGAATAACAATGTAATAATAAAAATAACATTAGGTAGGTATTCCTAATGTTTTGTACACTCAGTGTATAGAGCAAGGCCTGCTTCATATGCCCTGTGTAGCTCAGTTGGTAGAGCATGGCGCTTGCAACGCCAGGGTTGGAAAAAAATTAAAATAATGTATGCACTCACTAACTGTAAGTCGCTCTGGATAAGAGCGTCTGCTAAATGACTAAAATTGTTTTGAAAAAATAATAATAATATGCTGAGCCAGCACTTCATGTACTAGCTGGCTGTTCCAGTCATTACGTAACATAATAGGATTAACCCAGTGCATCAGTCCGTTCAGTAGTCACAGGTCACAGCAATCACAGCTACTTTAAGCCTTTTAGTCCAGACAGACAGTGTGGTGACCAATGCTGGCCCTGATGCTAACCCACAGAGAGCACGAGCCATGTGGCCAGGGTGGTGTTCATTAGGCACCAAATGGAAGAAAACTGACCAACAGGGAGGGACTACCTGGACTTGTCCAATAAGAAACTCATTTTTGTGTTCCGTTACATGCCCTAATGAACATGACCCTGTTGTGTTTCATCCAGCCCCAGCACGACTCCAGTAGAAATACACCCCTATCCCATCACCATAGACACCTTCACTGATCCTCAAACGGACGACACTGACTGGGGAAACAGACAGAGAGAGGACAACAGTGTTGTAGAGAGGGCAGGGAGGTAGGGAGAGTTCAGGGGCTATGGTTGGGAGGGAGTGTCACGCCCTGATCTATAGAACTCTAGTTAGTTTGGTCAGGGTGTGAATATCATGTGTGTGTTGATTCTATGTTTGTATTTCTATGTTTGGCCGGGTGTGGTTCCCAATCAGAGGCAGCTGTCGCTCGTTGTCTCTGATTGGGGATCATACTTAGGCAGCCAGTTTTCCTGCCTGTTTTGTGGGATCTTGTTTTGTGCTCTGTGAGTTTGGCTTGTGTGTGTATAGCCTTCCGACGTCACGTTTCGTTGCCTGTTGTTGTTTTGTATGTTTATTCGGTTTAATAAACATGGATGCATTTCACGCTGCGCCTTGGTCTGACCCGTCCTTCAACGTCCGTGACAGGGAAAGGTAGGCTATCAGAGGAAAGGGCGGGAGATACAGTATAACTGAATTGTGGGATGTCACTTACGTTCCTCCCCACAGACACACACGCCATAGTTGAGGAGCAGGTGCTTATGGGACAGCTGGCTCATCATACTGGCGGCTTCAAAGAAAGACTGGCGAAAGAGAGGTCAGAGACACATTTGAAAATGCAAATTATAGGAAATTAACAAATACCACTGGCAAAACGACATTTTCTTGTACCTTTTAAGAATGGATGCAGATTTGAACTCTGAGTTGTATTCAAGTCAAATCAAGACTAGCTCCTGAACACTACAGGTCTCTTAGGGTCAAATCCTAACTTGGATTTAAATGGAATTTTCACTTATTAATGCATTGATCTCAATCAAAGACTAAGTTAGGATTAATCTCTTACTGATGGGAGTGTAATTTTCTTAACTAACCTCTGAGTAGTTGCGATGGGCCTTGTCCAGGATCTTGACGATGATGTCCATCTGGTGAATCTCTCCGTAGTCCCCGAGCTCCTTCCTCACGCCACAGAAGATCCCTGACCCAGACTATCTTTCTGTAACACACAGGGAACACAATACATTCCCTGGTGCTTAAGTTACAAGTCTGTTACTACCCAACACAACGTTCCCTGACCCAGACTATCTTTCTGTAACACACAGGGAACACAATACATTTCCTGGTGCTTAAGTGGCAAGTCTGTTACTACCCAACACCTCTTCAGATAGAAGTCTTCTTTTGTGTGTGTGTGTGTGTGTGTGTGTGTGTGTGTGTGTGTGTGTGTGTGTGTGTGTGTGTGTGTGTGTGTGTGTGTGTGTGTGTACAGAACCCAGTGGCCTCTGCTCGCAACCTAATTGACCAGAGCTATTCATTTTAGTAATGCATGAGGAGGAATAGAGATAGGTAGAAAAAGAGTGATTGAGAGAGGTATCTTACGATAACAAGGTCCTCCTTGCGTATCTTGTGGAACACCATCTGGCTAATGTGTCTGTGGAGGGAGGGGTAGAGAGGTACCTCAGCGCCCTGGTTACTCCTGCACACCAACAGGTTAGACTTGTCTGCAGGAAGAGGGGACAGAGAAGATGTAGAGTTAGGAGTATATAAAGAGTGTCTTTGTCTCCCCGGTAACTCCTTAAGTTATCAGTGAACCAGTGAATGTAGGGTAGAATGCAGCTAGTGGGCTACATACATTTTGTTATGGTATGCTTGTCTTTTTACTGATCTTCCTCAACTTGCAAAAAAGAGCTCAGATGTGCGAGTGCCTTTTGAATTATAAAATCTAAAATGGTATACAGTGCATTCAGAATGTATTCAGACCCCTTGACTTTTTCCACATTTTGTTACGTTACAGCCTTATTCTACAATGGATTAAATTGTTTTCCCCCCCTCATCAATCTACACACAATACCCCATAATGACAAAGCAAAAACAGGTTTATATACATTGTTGCTAATCTACTAAAAATAAAAAAAACGAAATATCACATTTACATAAGTATTCAGACACTTTACTCAGTACTTTGTTGAAGCACCTTTGGCAGTGATTACAGACTTGAGTCTTTTTGGGTATGGCGCTACAAGCTTGGCACACCTGTATTTGGGGAGTTTCTCCCAATCTTCTCTGCAGATCCTCTCAAGCTCTGTCAGGTTGGATGGGGAGCGTCGCTGCACAGCTATTTTCAGGTCTTTCCAGAGATGTTCGATAGGGTTCAAGTCCGGGCTCTGGCTGGGCCACTCAAGGATATTCAGAGACTTGTCCCGACGCCACTCCTGCGTTGTCTTGGCTGTGTGCTTAGGGTCGTTGTCCTGTTGGAAGGTGAACCTTCTCCCCAGTCTGAGGTCCTGAGCGCTCTGGAGCAGGTTTTCATCATGGATCTCTCTTTACTTTGCTCCGTTCATCTTTCCCTCGATCCTGACTAGTCTCCCAGTCCCTCCGCTGAAAAACATCCCCACAGCATGATGCTGCCACCACCATGCTTAACCGTAGGGATGGTGCCAGGTTTCCTCCAGACGTGACACTTGACATTCAGGCCAAAGAGTTCAATCTTGGTTTCATCAGATGAGAGAATCTTGTTTCTCATGGTTTGAGAGTCCTTTAGATGCCTTTTGGCAAACTCCAAGCGGGCTGTCAAGTGCCTTTTACTGAGGAGTGGCTTCTGTCTGGTCACTCTACCATAAAGGCCTGATCGGTGGAGTGCTGCAGAGATTGTTGTCCTTCTGGAAGGTTCTCCCATCTCCACAGAGGAAACAGGATGCACCTGATCTTAATTTTGAGTCTCATAGCAGAGAGTCTGAATACTTATGTAAATAAGGTATTTTTTTATTTTTTTTATAAATGTGCAAAAATGTCTAAAAACCTGTTTTCGCTTTGTCATTATGAGGTATTGTGTGTAGATCGATGAGAATGTATTTATTTAATCAATTTTAGAACAAGGCTGTAATGTATATATATATTTTTTTAAGTCAAGGGGTCTGAATACTTTCCGAATGCACTGTATATGCTTGTTGTTGGGGTGGAATTTGTGTGAGGTGTGGGGGGTCCGTGGGTAGCTTTCGACCATTCCTTTGGATCCTCATATCTAACTCCTTGTTAGAAAAAAGTTTGGCCCAAATCGGTTGTTAGGTACTATATTTATTGAATATTATATCAAGCATATACATTTAAATGGCCAATTTGGATGCAATCAACTAGCTTAATTTCTCAGAGGTCAAATTATAATGTGTAGATTGATGAGGAAAACAATTAATTTAATCCATTTTAGAATAAGGTTGTAACATAACAAAATGTGGGACATTTTTTTTGGAAAAAGGGAAGGGGTAGGAATAATTTCCGAATGCACTGTATGTAGTCTATTAAAATAATTATTTAAATGTATTTTTCCCCATTCAGTTTCACACTCCCCCCAAAACGTTCTCCAGTTTGAGAATCACTGAACTAGTGCAAGAACTACAAGACTTGTGTCACGTCTCCTTTTGAAGGATAGTGCAGTTTTGAGTGAGGCTAGAGAGCCAGTCCAAACGTTAGCCCAAATTGCTAACATTGGCCAATGAAATCAAGTAGGCCAGTTTATGTTATTATAAACACAGCTATGACCCCTTGTTGCCCCTTATCCCCTGACCTCTCACCTTTAGCGGGCAACACTTGGTGAGCTTGAAGATGTGTCCATCAGAGCACAGCACCTCCTTCTGGTAGCAGTGGAGCAGCTCCCTCAGAGAGCTGAAGCTCTTCTTAGCCCCAGAGAGAATGTACTCTCCCTGGTCCGTCTTCACTATCTGGCAGTGCTTATACTCCACCAGGCTGTCACACTGCTTCAGAGAAGAGACGGGGAACAGTTTAGAGAGAGATACAGTTGAAGTCAGAAGTTTACATACACTTAGGTTAGAGTCATTAAAACTAAACAAACTATAGTTTTGGCAAGTCGGTTAGGACATCTACTTTGTGCATGACAAAAGTAATTTTTTCAACAATTGTTTACAGACAGATTATTTTACTTATAATTCACTGTATCACAATTCCAGTGGGTCAAAAGTTCACATACACTAAGTTGATGGTGCCTTTAAACAGCTTGGAAAACTCCAGAAAATGATGTCATGGCTTTAGAAGCTTCTGAATTGACATAATTTGAGTAAATTGGAGGTGTACCTGTGGATGTATTTCAAGGCCTACCTTCAAACTCAGTGCCTCTTTGCTTGACATCATGGGAAAATCTAAAGAAATCAGCCAAGACCTCAGAAAAGAAATTGTAGACCTCCACAAGTCTGGTTCATCCTTGGGAGCAATTTCCAAACGCCTGAAGGTACCATGTTCATCTGTACAAACAATAGTACGCAAGTATAAACACCCTGGGACCACGCAGCCATCATACCGCTCAGGAAGGAGACGCGTTCTGTCTCCTAGAGATGAACGTACTTTGGTGCGAAAAGTGCAAATCAATCCCAGAACAACAGCAATGGACCTTGTGAAGATGCTGGAGGAAACAGGTACAAAAGTATCTATATCCACAGTAAAACGAGTCCTATATCGACATAACCTGAAAGGCCGCTCAGCAAGGAAACCGCCATAAAAAAGCCAGACTACGGTTTGCAACTGCACATGGGGACAAAGATCGTACTTTTTGGAGAAATGTCTTCTGGTCTGATGAAACAAAAATATAACTGTTTGGCCATAACGACCATCGTTATGTTTGGAGGAAAAAGGGAGTTGCTTGCAAGCCGAAGAACACCATCCCAACCGTGAAGTACGGGGGTGGCAGCATCATGCTGTGGGGGTGCTTTGCTGCAGGAGGGACTGGTGCACTTCACAAAACAGACATCATGAGGAAGGAAAATTATGTGGATATATTGAAGCAGCATCTCAAGACATCAGTCAGGAAGTTAAAGCTTGGTCGCAAATGGGTCTTCCAAATGGACAATGACCCCAAGCATACTTCCAAAGTTGTGCCAAAATGGCTTAAGGACAACAAAGTAAAGGTATTGGAGTGGCCATCACAAAGCCCTGACCTCAATCCTATAGAAAATGTGTGGGCAGAACTGAAAAAGCATGTGCGAGCAAGGAGGCCTACATACCTGACTCAGTTACACCAGCTCTGTCAGGAGGAATGGGCCAAAATTCACCCAACTTATTGTGGGAAGTTTGTGGAAGGCTACCCAAAACGTTTAACCCAAGTTAAACAATTGAAAGGCAATGCTACCAAATACTAATTGAGTGTATGTAAACTTCTGACCCACTGTGAATGTGATGAAAGAAATAAAAGCTGAAATAAATCATTCTCTCTACTATTATTCTGACATTTCACATTCTTAAAATAAAGTGGTGATCCTAACTGACCTAAGACAGGGAATTTTTACTAGGATTAAATGTCAGGAATTGTGAAAAACTGAGTTTAAATATATTTGGCTAAGGTGTATGTGAACTTCCGACTTCAACTGTACATACAGAGACAGACTTTTGACGGTAAGGTTACATATGTACACGAGGAGAAAGGCTACCCATAAGTCTGACCTGGACTAAACATGGATACAAGATAAACATGGATAAAATATAGTTCTAGTTTTAATTCAATTAAAATTAAAAAGTTAGACCAGTGGGTCAGGGACTCTGGGGACACACAATCCATCAGGTCACACAGCACCAGTATCATGCATTTTACTCACCTCCACTACAAAGGTCAGGAAGTATTTGTTGTAGTCCTTAGGGCTGCTGCGGAGGATGTACAGACCCTTATGATTCCCAGACCGTCGCAGCTTACTGATGGCAAACTCCATCCTGAGGACAGAGAGGGAGAGGACAGATGGGGTCAGTCATGGTCGTGTGCGAGTGTGTGCGTTTGCGCACATATACTTGACGTACAAGACCGGGCCATGGCAGTAGCTCTGAATGGCCTCCAGCAGCTTAGGGGGCGCCGTCTCTTTACACAGGTAGTGGTGGGCGTCTGCTATTAGCCGGTAGTAGCCATCCACCAAAGACACAAAGGACAGAGCCTCGGGCAGGGAATGGAACTCCAGCTCCTGTGTAGTAGAGAGAGAGCGAGAGAGAGAGACAGAGCCAGAAAGAGAGATAGACAGAGAAAGAAGATGGCGGAATAGAGGGTTGGGTCAGTCCTCTGATATGCTTTTGTGTGGAAAAGGCCTTATTGGTCCTTTGAGCCAGATATGAACCAGCAACCTGACGAGGCAGACGTGAGTAAGGTCATTAATCAGGTTAACACTAGGGCTGTTCTGTTGACCGTATTACCACCAAACTGGGTAGCTGCAGGAATAGGGTTGGAGAGCCCATGGCATACAGCGTTTGTGCGAAATATCAACTGTTGCGCAGCGAGAGGCTGCATGCTCCTCAAACAGTGCTTGATGTGTGGAGTGAAATAACTGGAGTAGCCTACCCAGCATGACTGAGAAAAAAAACAACCGGCAGGAACGCCATTCGCTATTCAAGTGCATACCCTGCCCCTGTTCCTGCCTATTTGATAATGGGCCATTCTAAATCAAAACTAATTTTACATATTAGTAAAGACAAGATTCAATTGAGAATAGTCCAGGGCCAGCGTTATGGGCGGGCCCTAGGCGACCTGGACCGCCTTACCATACCCCTTTGCCCATCCAAATAAAATAGCGAAATATTGATAATTTATTTGATCGAGACGCGCGCCGAGAGAAAGATGCGGCAATCTCATATAAAGCATCCGTGCGAGTGAAACGGCGCCCCTCTGTCTCCGTATGTGTAGACCATGTATCTGATGCTGTCTGATGCGTTTCTATGGGCATACTGTAATATGCAGACCTAAGCTTGTCGCCTAAATTCCCGCCTTTGGGACAACGACTCGCATTGTTAGGGCGGAGACATGAGCATTTCGTCATTATATACAGATCTCTGGTTTCAGCCACTTGCGAATTAGAAAGGAAAGTTGGTGGGTGCATAGTGCACTGTTCAGATGCTGACTTCCCCTAAAGTAAATTGATGATTTGCCAAAATTATATATAAATAAAATCATTCAAAATACTTTACCAGAGAGCTTGATTTAGAGGATCAAAAGCTTATTTAAAACAAAATAGCTGTGGATTGTTTTAAATCACAAGTATTTAGGCCTATGTCTATTTGGGAAGGCAGCAATTTGGCCAGCGAGCGTGGCAGTAGGCCTGCGGCTGTCATTGAAAAGCATCTAAAATGTGTGAAGATAATGTGTCTTGAGTATAATAAAACATTTTGAGACAAGAAGGGGAGGGGTGTGAGGCGAAGATATGGCCTTCTCTCTCCAGAATGCATGCACTCTGCTCTCCAGAATGTGCTCCGCTGTCTCCCGCCAATTCTTGCACATTCATTGTTTCATTGTGTGAATTGTTTGCCCTTTGATTGTTTATTTTGACCAATTCACATTACATATGTAACCAGTCGGCCTAGTAAATGCACCGTTAATCCCCGTAATATGGTTACATTCATTTCTGTTATTGCATTACAGTAATTTACCGTTCCCATTCTCAGAGTGGAAACGTTGAATGCCAGAGTTCACAACTTGCTTGGTTTATTTCATAACCATCATTTAGGAGTTTTGTCCATTTTTTCATTGTCTTTTGTTTGGAGTGCTCCATGTGAGCAATGAGCATGTGTGTGGCGTCTCTGTCCTGATAACCTTGAGGTAGCGCGCGCCTGAGCACGCCAACCTGCTGAGTTGATACATAGTTGCGCTTCACTAGGCAATAGCTCAAGTCAAGACAAATCGAAAGGGAGGCAGATTAATACGATTGAAAGAACCTACATTTTCATCAAGAGATTCTCTACTGTTTTTATTTGTCGGCTTTAGGCCTATGTATTTTACTTAGTTGACGATGGAAGTTATAGGCCTACTGCTGCATTGTCTATAGGCCATCTCTTGAGTTCCATGCGCAAATTTATTTAGCAGCCAATGGATCACGGCATATCAATGTGTCCATATGGCAAAGGCTGATGCTCTTGCATTAGTTGAATTTTAACTTGTCGATTTTTATCATTTTAATTCAGATTATGATTAACCACGTGACAATAATTTTGAGAAACGAAAACGTTATTATTTAAATTAAACTATTCCACCAAAATGCGCATATAAAAATAATCATAACTGGCACGCAGATACAGTAGGTAGAAATGGTAGGTTTAAATTGTAAGCTTCCCCAAACTTGAAACTCACCAGCTGCTTATGGTCTTTATTATAACACCCATTAACAAAATTAGTGTCCCGTGAAAAAAACGGGTCCGCCTATAGAAATCAAATGCAGTCCAAATGATTTGTTCTGGTGCCAGGCCCTGGAATAGTCTGATAGGTGAAAATATGATCACTTGATGATCACAGCGTGTGCAGCCTGAGGCAAGGAACAGATCGCAAGCTTTTTTTTCTTCTACTTTCTCAAATCATCAAAAGCCTATAGTTGCATCAGCCAGCCCATATTTGTTTTGATTTCTAAGACATTCTAAGATTTGTATCATTCACAACTAAAGTTGCCAAATAACTCTAAATCCAGCCTATAGGACCTGTTTCAAATGATCACTTTTATGCTCAACTTGCTTCAGAATGGGAAAAATATCCTTTACATTTTATTCAGCACACTTCAATTATATTCTTCTTACTATAAAATCATACAATGGCACGGGACTTATAAGCATCTCATGTCTGCTAAATGAACAAGCCTACAGCCTATGGCATGGCACATAGCCAGATAACATACAGTAGGCCAACTCATATTCTGTTCTTCTGAAACACATTTTTTTCATATCATGTTTCGTTATACCTGCCCAAATTAATGCATTTATTGTGATGGTGTATATTACATTGATTTATTAGATTTTTAAAAAATATGTAAAATGTTTCAAAGGCACGAATCAGCAGCTTGTATGCGGTTTGTATGCGTGGAGGCCTGGAGATGTTAAATGTTTTTATGTTAATTAACGGTAAATTACCGTAAAACCGGCAGTCTTTTGCATGATAATAACAGGCTGACAAAATGTAATGACTGCCACAGCCCTAGTCAACATCCACAAGGCTGTGGGGGCCAACGGTATTCCAGGGCGCATTCTCAGAGCATGCGCAGAACAACCTCTCCTTGTGCCAGTCTGTAATCCCGACATGTTTCAAGATGACCACCATCATTCCTCGTCCCAAGAACTCTAAGGCTTCATGTCACAATGACTACCGCCCTGTAGCACTCACATCTGTAATCATGAAGTGCTTTAAGAGGCTGGTTATGGCACACATCAACTCCCTCATCCCAGACACCCTAGATCCACTCTAATTTGCATACAGCCCCAACAGATCCATAGACGACGCAATCTCAATGGCACTTCACACGGCCCTAACCCACCTAGATAAGAGGAACACCTACAGTGCCTTCGGAAAGTATTCAGACCCCTTGACTTTTTACACATTTTGTTAGGTTACACTCTTATTCTGAAATGTATTACATTGTTTTTTCTCTCTCTCATCAATCTACACATAATACCCCATAATGACAAAGCAAAAACTGGTTTTTAGAATTTTTTGCTAATTTATAAAAAATAAAAAACGGAAATATCACATCTCCAGAGATGTTCGATCAGGTTCAAGTCCGGGCTCTGGCTGGGCCACTCAAGGACATTCAGAGACTTGTCCCGAAGCCACTCCTGCGTTGTCTTGGCTGTGTGCTTAGGGTCATTGTCCTGTTGGAAGGTGAACCTTCGTCCAAGTCTGAGGTCCTGAGCCCTCTAGAGCAGGTTTCCATCAAGGATCTCTGTACTTTGCTCCGTTAATTTTTCCTTAGATCCTGACTAGTCTCCCAGTCCCTGCTGCTGAAAAACATCCCCACAGCATGATGCTGCCACCACCATGCTTCACCGTAGGGATGGTGCCAGGTTTCCTACAGACGTGACGTTTGGCATTCAGACCAAAAAGTTGAATCTTGGGGTCATCAGACCAGAGAATCTTGTTTCTCATGGTCTGAGAGTCTTTAGGTGCCTTTTGGCAAACTCCAAGCGGGCTGTCATGTGCCTTTTACTGAGGAGTGGCTTCTGTCTGGCCTGATTGGTGAAGTTCTCCAGAGATGGTTGTCCTTCTGGAAGGTTCTCCCATCTCCACAGAGGAACTCTGGAGTTCTGTCAGAGTGACCATCGGGTTCTTGGTCACCTCCCTGAGCAAGGCCCTTCTGCTCAGTTTGGCTGGGCGGCCAGCACTAGGAAGAGTCTTGGTGGTTCCAAACTTCTTCCATTTAAGAATTATGGAGGCCACTGTTTTCTTGGGGACCTTCAATGCTGCAGACATTTTTTGGTACCCTTCACCAGATCTGTGCCTCGACACAATCCGGTCTCGGAGCTCTACGGACAATTCCTTTGACCTCATGGTGTGGTTTTTGCTCTGACATGCCCTGTCAACTGTGGGACCTTACATAGACAAGTGTGTGCCTTTCCAAATCATGTCCAATCAATTGAATTTAGCACAGGTGGACTCCAATCAAGATGTAGAAACATCTCAATGATGATCAATGGAAACAGGATGCACCTGAGCTCAATTTCGAGTCTCATAGCAAAGGTTCTGAATACTTATGTAAATAAGTATTCTGTTTTTTATTTTGAACACATTTGCAAACATTTCTAAAAATCTGTTTTTGCTTTGTCATTATGGGGTATTGTGTGTGAGGATTTTTATTTATTTAATCCATTTTAGAATAAGGCTGTAACGTAACAAAATGTGGAAAAAATCAAGGGGTCTGAATACTTTCCGAAGACACTGTATGTGAATGCTGTTCATTGACTACAGCCCAGCGTTGAACACCATTGTCCCTTCCAAGCTCGTCACCAGTTCCTGTGTTGTCCTAAGCTTGAACACCCCCCTCTGCAACTGGATCGTGGACTTCCTGACGGGCCGATCCCAGGTGGTGAGGGTAGGCAACACTGGCCCCACAGGGGTGTGTGCTTAGTTCCCCTCCTGTACTTCCTGTTCACCCACGACTGCGTGGCCATGCACAACTCCAACATCAATAATTTATTTCCTTCTTAATGCCTTTGAGCCAATCAGTTGTGTTGTTGACAAGGTAAGGGGGGTATACAGAAGATAGCCTTACTTGGTAAAATACCAAGTCCATATTATGGCAAGAACAGCTCAAATAAGCAAAGAGAAACGACAGTCCATCATTACTTTAAGACATGAAGGTCAGTCAATACGGAACATTTCAAGAACTTTGAAAGTTTCTTCAAGTGTAGTCGCAAAAACCATCAAGCGCTATGATGAAACTTGCTCTCATGAGGACTACCACAGGAAAGTAAGAACCAGAGTTACCTCTGCTGCAGAGGATAAGTTAATTAGAGTTACCAGCCTCAGATATTGCAGCCCAAATAAATGCTTCACAGAGTTCAAGTCACAGACACATCTCAACATCAACTGTTAAGAGGGGACTGTGTGAATCAGGTCTTCATGGTCGAATTGCTGCAAAGAAACCACTACTAAAGGACACCAATAAGAAGACGAGACCTGCTTAGGCCAAGAAACATGAGCACTGGACATTAGACCGGTGGAGATTTGTCCTTTGGTCTGCAGTCCAAATTGGAGATTTTTGGTTCCAACCGCCGTGTCTTTGTGAGACGCGGTGTGGGTGAAAGGATCATCTCTGCATGTGTAGTTCTCACCGTAAAGCATGGAGGAGGTGGTGTTATGGTGTGGGGGTGCTTTGCTGGTGACACTGTCTGTGATTTATTTAGAATTCAAGGCACACTTAACCAGCATGGCTACCACAGCATTCTGCAGCGATGCGCCATCCCTTCTGGTTTGGGCTTAGTGGGACTATCATTTGTTTTTCAACAGGACAATGACCCAACACACCTTCAGGCTGTGTAAGGGCTATTTTACCAAGAAGGAGAGTGATGGAGTGCTGCATCAGATGACCTGGCCTCCACAATCCCCCGACCTCAACACAATTGAGATGGTTTGGGATGAGTCGGACGGCAGAGTGAAGGAAAAGCAGCCAACAAGTGCTAAGCATATGTGGGAACTCCTTCAAGACTGTTGGAAAAGCATTCCAAGTGAAGCTGGTTGAGAGAATGCCAATAGTGTGCAAAGCTGTCATCAAGGCAAAGGGTGGCTATTTGAAGAATCTCAAATATAAAATATATTTGTTTAACACTTCTTTGGTTACTACATGATTCCATATGTGTTATTTCAAAGTTTGATGTCTTCACTATTATTCTACAATGTAGAAGGTGTGTCCAAACTTTTGACTGGTATTGTATGTATTTTATTTGTGCACTGCCTCTATGCACACTCACAGGGCCCTACACACTCATGCACACTGACACTCCAACACACACTTCATCATTTGGTCACACACACATAATCCTTAAGAGTCTATTGACGCACCCATGCGTCAATCTAAGTAACATAAAAAAAATCCCCATCAAAATCCGTTAGCTTAAGCTAGATATAGGTTTTTTTGCTGCCTGTGGGCCTTCAGCATCTGCGGTGGAAGGTGATCGAGCTACAGCGGTGTTTGTCAGACTATGAAACATCCCAGAAATTGGTCTTCTCACAAAAAAGTCTGTAGCGTCCAAACTAATATGACCACGACAGTGGCTTGCGAAAGTATTCACCCACCTTGGCATTTTTCCTGTTTTGTTGCCTTACAAACATGGAATTCAAATTGATTTTTGGGGGGTTTGTATCATTTCATTTACACAACATGCCTACCACTTTGAAGATGAAAAATATTTTTTGGTGTGAAACAAACAAGAAATAAGACAAAAAACTGAACGTGCATAAATATTCACCCCCACAAAGTCAATACTTTGTAGAGCCAACTTTTGCAGCAATTACAGCTGCAAGTCTCTCTGGGTATGTCTCTATAAGCTTGGCACATCTAGCCACTGGGATTTTTGCCCATTCTTCAAGGAAGGCAAAACTGCTCCAGCTCCTTCAGGTTGGATAGGTTCCGCTGGTGTACAGCAATCTTTAAGTCATACCACAGATTCTCAATTGGATTGAGGTCTGGGCTTTGACTAGGCCATTCCAAGACATTTAAATGTTTCCCCTTAAACCACACAAGTGTTGCTTTAGCAGTATGCTTAGAGTCATTGTCCTGCTGGAAGGTGAACTTCCGTCCCAGTCTCAAATTTCTGGAAGACTGAAACTGGTTTCCCTCAAGAATTTCCCTGTATTTAGCGCCATCTATCATTCCTTCAATTCTGAGCAGTTTCCCAGTCCCTGCCGATGAAAAACATGATGCTGCCCTTCACCATGCTTCACTGTGGGGATGGTGTTCTCGGGGTGATGAGAGGTGTTGGGTTTGCGCCAGACATAGTGTTTTCCTTGATAGCCAAAAAGCTCAATTTTAGTCTCATCTGACCAGAGTACCGTCTTCCATATGTTTGTGGAGTCTCCCACATTCATTTTGGTGAACACAAATGTGTTTGCTTATTCTTTTCTTTAAGCAATGGCTTTTTTCTGGCCACTCTTCCGTAAAGCCCAGCTCTGTGGAGTGTACGGCTTAAAGTGGTCCTATGGACAGATACTCCAATCTCCGCTGTGGAGCTTTGCAGCTCCTTCAGGGTTGTCTTTGGTCTCTTTGTTGCCTCTCTGATTAATGCCCTCCTTGCCTGTGTATTTTGTAGAATTTCTTGAAACAAGTAATTATTTTCATTTCACTTCACCAATTTGGACAATTTTGTGTATGTCCATTACATGAAATCCAAATAAAAATCCATTTAAATTACAGGTTGTAATGCAACAAAATACTTTTGCTAGGCACTGTATATGGAAAGATGAGACTCTCACGAATACGATAATGTTCTCAATTTTGCTCTACGACCCCCACGGGACTCATCTGAAGTCGGTAATGCTGACGTGCCAACTTCTGTCTGTAGCGTCCGAACGGTTTGGCCTACAAACTCTATTCAAAGATGACTCTCACGAACATGGTGTTCTCCATTTTGCTCTACGACCCCCACAAGTGTCACGGATTCGTTCAAAGGTAACCCATACAAATGAATGGAAGTATGGAGGTAGTTTTGTACCAACAAAAATAAAGGGGTTAAATATGTCAATAATACAAATAAAAAAACATGCGCTTTCTAATATATCTCTTATATAGGACAGACACTTCAAAACCTTATTCCTAATGATGTATTTATTGACTGTCTTTTTTGCCATTTATGAATGTGTTATTCAATGCGTTTCTATGGGCTATAGTAGTAATACAAAATCAAAAAATGGAGATACCTAAAGGGGTCCTAAAATTCAAAACCAATAGCTAAATGATCCATGGTATGACCATCTCAATAAAACAATTCCATATGTTAGCTTAGTACCTCCATATGTTAGCTTAGTACCTACATATGTTAGCTTAGTACCCCCCCCCCCACCAACGGCTTAGACTTTTAGAGGATAATATACTCACACCCACTCACATACAATCATCATATACGCTGCTGCTACTCTGTTTATCATATATCCTGATGCCTAGTCACCTTACCCCTATACATGACCAAAAGTATGCAGACACCTGCTCGTCGAACATCTCATTCCAAAATCATGGGCATTAATATAGAGTTGGTCCCCACTTTGCTGCTATAACAGCCTCCACTCTTCTGGGAAGGCTTTCCACTAGATGTTGGAACATTGCTGCGGGGATTGCTTCCATTCAGCCACAAGAGCATTAGTGAGGTCGGGCACTTATGTTGGGCGATTAGGCTCGCAGTCGGTGTTCTAATTAATCCCAAAGGTGTTCGATGGGGTTGAGGTCAGGTCTCTGTGCAGGCCAATCAAGTTCTTCCACACCGATCTCAACAAACCATTTCTGTATGGACATCGCTTTTTGTGCACGGGGGCATTGTCATGCTGAAACAGGAAAGGGCCTTCCCCAAACCATGTTGGAAGCACAGAATCGTCTAGAATGTCATTGTATGCTGTATGCTGTATGCTGTAGCATTAAGATTTATCTTCACTGGAACTAAGGGGCCTAGCCCGAACAAAGAAAAACAGCCTCAGCCCATTATTCCCCCTCCACCAAACTTTACAGTTGGCACTATGCATTTGGGCAGGTAGCATTCTCCTGGCATCTGCCAAAACCAGATTCGTCCGTCGGACTGCCAGATGGTGAAGCGTGATTCATCACTCCAGAGAACGCATTTCCACTGCTCCAGAGTCCAATGGCAGCGAGCTTTACACCACTCCAGCCGACGCTTGGCATTGTGCATGGTGATCTTAGGCTTGTGTGCGGCTGCTTAGCCATGGAAACCCTTTTCATCAAGCTCCGGACAAACAGTTATTGTGCGGATGTTGCTTCCAGAGGCAGTTTGGAACTCGGTTGTGAGTGTTGCAACTGAGGACAGACAATTTTTACACGCTTCAGCACCCGGTGGCTCCATTCTGTGAGCTTGTGTGGTCTACCACTTCGCGGCTGAGCCACTGTTGCTCCTAGACGTTTCCACTTCACAATAACAGCACTTACAGTTGACTGGGGCAGCTCTAGCAGGGCAGAAATTTGACGAACTGCCTTGTTGGAAAGGTGGCATCCTATGACAGTGCCACGTTGAAAGTCACTGAGCTCTTCAGTAAGGCCATTCTACTGCCAATGTTTGTCTATGGAGATTGCATGGCTGTGTGCTCGATTTTATACACCTGTCAGCAACGAGTGTGGCTGAAATAGTTGAATCCACTAATTTGAAGGGGTGTCCACATTCACTATATATACCAAAGTATCTACCTCTATCCCTCCAGTATCCCTACACATTGTAATGGTACTGGAACTGACTGACCCTGTATGTAGTATGCTTAGTTACTTTCTCATGTTCATCTTATTTTTATTTATTGTGTGTTTTTGTTCTACCTTATGTTATTTTTAGTATTACATTGTTATTGATTATTGCATTGATGGGATTAGAGCTTGCAAGAAAGGCATTTCACTGTACTTGTGCACGTGACATTAAAACTTGAAACCTAAGGATAGAAGGGACGGCCTTTACCACATTCTGTGGCATAAAAAACTCTTCCACATATAGAAGGTGGAGTCAACATGGGCCATCATCCCTGTGGAACGCTTTCAACACCTTGTAGAGTCCATGCCCTCACAAATTGAGGCTGTTCTGAGGGCAAATGAAGGTGTTCTAGGAAGGTGTTCTTAATGTTTTGTACAGTCAGTGTATATCGGGAATAGGGTATCACTTCAGATAAAGCAAATGTGCTTTAGGTTAGCAGGGGGGTCGTACCAGAGTCTGATTGTCCTGTCTGTTGATGGTGACGATGCGACTCTCGATAGCGGCGTCCTTGTTGGCCTGCTTAATGCTGATGTCTATAACCTCAGGGAAATCACAATACGTCTGGAAGCCCTGACAGAGAGACCGGGAGAGAGAGAGAGACCGGGAGAGAGAGAGAGAGAGAGAGAGAGAGAGAGAGAGAGAGAGAGAAAGCGAGCGAGAGAGAGAGAGAGAGAGGTCACATACAGTAGCAGCAATCCTGAATGCACAACAGTTTCAAACGCCCTTCCGCTTACTCTCTTTGAAACTATGGACAATCGGAACACATGACTAATCATAGTCCTTCCGTGGTCGTTTCAACACGGCATATGCTGTTTCCAAGAAGAGAGGAATAGAGAAGAGAAAGAAAGGAGAAGAGGACGAGAAGAGAAAGAGAACGCTACTTCTCCCTACCTTTTCTATCTCCATATCCTTCCCCTTGGACCACTGGATTCCATTGTTACCCATGACGACGATGGTGACCTCTCCGGCCGAGGGCTCTGTGACCCAGAAGCACTCAGAGTAGAAGGCTGGCTGCAGTGTCTCCAGATTTGCCAGGTATTTGAGCTTGAGGTCGCAAGCGGTGGCATTACACTGGCGGAACTGCTGGATGAACTTCCTGAAGCGATGGCGGATCCTCTTCCGGGTCACAAAGTGGTACTCCTGGATACTGGCACGTATGTCCTTGGGCAGGAATGACTTATAGCTATTGGGGGAGACAGAATGGGATTGGTTTAGTTACAATTGGGTGCATTACATACTAGTATCAATAGCAGCCAAGAGCTGAATTATGTGATACAATTTCATGATTTAAGAAAGGACATTATTATCAAATTAGCAACGAACACAAATTAATAAATATTTTAAATACATGGGCTGGGTTGGATTGGAGGGAGGTGTGGTGTGATGGGTTAGAGTGAGAAAAGGAGGCCAGGGTGAGTACAGACATTGTGTATCATGAAAATGTTTTATTCAAGCTCTGTCAAGTTGGTTGTTGATCATTGCTAGACAGCCATTTTCAAGTCTTGCCATATATTTTCAAGACGATTTAAGTCAAAACTGTAATTAGGCCACTCAGGAAAATTCAAGGTCATCTTGGTAAGCAACTCCAGTGTATATTTGGTCTTGTGTTTTAGGTTACTGTCATGCTGAAAGGTGAATTTGTCTCCCACTGATAAATAGGCATAAACTCATTGTTAAGAGAATAAAATGCAGATGTATGAAATTAGCATTTACAGTGGGGGGAAAAAGTATTTAGTCAGCCACCAATTGTGCAAGTTCTCCCACTTAAAAAGATGAGAGAGGCCTGTAATTTTCATCATAGGTACACGTCAACTATGACAGACAAAATGAGATTTTTTTTCTCCAGAAAATCACATTGTATGATTTTTAATGAATTTATTTGCAAATTATGGTGGAAAATAAGTATTTGGTCAATAACAAAAGTTTCTCAATACTTTGTTATATACCCTTTGTTGGCAATGACACAGGTCAAACTTTTTCTGTAAGTCTTCACAAGGTTTTCACACACTGTTGCTGGTATTTTGGCCCATTCCTCCATGCAGATCTCCTCTAGAGCAGTGATGTTTTGGGGCTGTCGCTTGGCAACACGGACTTTCAACTCCCTCCAAAGATTTTCTATGGGGTTGAGATCTGGAGACTGTCTAGGCCACTCCTGGACCTTGAAATGCTTCTTATGAAGCCACTCCTTCGTTGCCCGGGCGGTGTGTTTGGGATCATTGTCATGCTGAAAGACCCAGCCACGTTTCATCTTCAATGCCCTTGCTGATGGAAGGAGGTTTTCACTCAAATTCTCACGATACATGGCCCCATTCATTCTTTCCTTTACACGGATCAGTCGTCCTGGTCCCTTTGCAGAAAAACAGCCCCAAAGCATGATGTTTCCACCCCCATGCTTCACAGTAGGTATGGTGCTCTTTGGGTGCAACTCAGCATTCTTTGTCCTCCAAACACGACGAGTTGAGTTTTTACCAAAAAGTTATATTTTGGTTTCATCTGACCATATGACATTCTCCCAATCCTCTTCTGGATCATCCAAATGCACTCTAGCAAACTTCAGACGGGCCTAGACATGTACTGGCTTAAGCAGGGGGACACGTCTGGCACTGCAGGATTTGAGTCCCTTGCGGCGTAGTGTGTTACTGATGGTAGGCTTTGTTACTTTGGTCCCAGCTCTCTGCAGGTCATTCACTAGGTCCCCCAGTGTGGTTCTGGGATTTTTGCTCACCGTTCTTGTGATTATTTTGACCTCACGGGGTGAGATCTTGCGTGGAGCCCCAGATCGAGGGAGATTATTAGTGGTCTTGTATGTCTTCCATTTCCTAATAATTGCTCCCACAGTTGATTTCTTCAAACCAAGCTGCTTACCTATTGCAGATTCAGTCTTCCCAGCCTGGTGCAGGTCTACAATTTTGTTTCTGGTGTCCTTTGACAGCTCTTTGGTCTTGGCCATAGTGGAGTTTGGAGTGTGACTGTTTGAGGTGTCTTTTATACTGATAACAAGTTCAAACAGGTGCCATTAATACAGGTAACGAGTGGAGGACAGAGGAGCCTCTTAAAGAAGAAGTTACAGGTCTGTGAGAGCCAGAAATCTTGCTTGTTTGTAGGTGACCAAATACTTATTTTCCACCATAATTTGCAAATAAATTCATAAAAAATCCTACAATGTGATTTTCTGGATTTTTCTCTCCACAATTTGTCTGTCATAGTTGACGTGTACCTATGATGAAAATTACAGGCCTCTCTCATCTTTTTAAGTGGGAGAACTTGCACAATTGGTGGCTGACTAAATACTTTTTTTCCCCACTGTATGTTGTTTATGAACGAAACTCTTCAAAAATATAATTTCGGATACGGTCGGCATTTCACCTATTTTCACACAGATCCGAGGTCTGTGGCCACCGAGCGGGATCCAACCTGGGATCCAAGGGGTTAACTACAACATTTTGGTCGGATCTTGGGTAATCGGGTAGATCCGTGAAGACCTCTAGTAGAGAGGGAGCGACATCATTATACCATATGTCATGTGCCAAAACATGCAAGAGTTATATTTAACCCTGACTGTATTTGTATTTATTATGGATCCCCATCCCCCCAATAGTTGCAGGGGAGAGGGGTGCAGCTGAATGAGCCAATTGGAAGTTAGGGATTTAGGAATGATTAGGTGGCCAGGCAGGAAATACAAATGTCAGGTTAGCATTTTAGCCAGGACACAGGGTTAACATCCCTAATTCTTTAGTGACCACAGGGGAGGCTATGCATTCCACCTGGTTTGACCGTTGTGAACACTGCTTTGTGACCAAACGTTTTCAGTTCAGTTTCCTATACGTTGTTCTTTGTGTTGAGGTTCAATATGCGCCATCTTCCTCCATTGTACTCACCTGGTGTCGTTGTAGATGTCCACAGGAGCCTGGCTGCTCTCCTTAGCCATCCTCATCATATCCAACACAGCCATACCAAGACACTCCTCCTGGGCCTCATGGTTTACTGGGATACTAACCCAGCCATCCACAAAGTCACTACGCCACTGAGGGAGGGAGGGGAGGGACAAGCAAGAAAGGAAGTAGTGGCACAGGGAGTAAACAGGCAGGGAGATAGCGGGTAGAGGTGGCATGAGGTGAAAACAGAAAAGGGAAAGAAGGGAAAAAGAGAGAAGAGACAGAAAGAAAATGGGAGAGAGAACAGGTGGAGGGTTGATAACGTTAACATGATATGAGAGACGAGGAACGGCAGACAGACTGGCAGACATAAGTAACATATGACAAGTCTGATTAGGCACAAAGCAGTTGTTAAGGCCTCAAATCAGTAGTTATACAGCCCTATCAGTGTCATGCCTCTCTCTGTCCCTATAGGCCCTGGTCTAAAGCAGTGCACTACACTGAGTATAAAAAACAGTATGAACACCTGCTCTTTCCATGACATAGACTGACCAGGTGAATCCAGGTGAAAGCTACAGTATGATCCCTTATTGATGTCACTTGTTAAATCCACTTCAAATCGGTGTAGAGGAAGGGGAGGAGACAAGTTTAAAATGATTTGTAAGCCTTGAGACAATTGAGACATGGATTGTGCATGTGTGCCATTCAGAGAGTGAATGGGGAAGACAAAAGCTTTAAGTGCCTTTCAACGGGGTATGGTAGTAGGTGCCAGGCTAACCGGTTTGTGTCAAGAACTGCAACGCTGATGGGTTTTTCACACTCAACAGTTTCCCGTGTGTATCAAGAATGGTCCACCACCTGAAGGACATCCAGCCAACTTCACACACCTGTGGGACGCATTGGAGTCAACATGGGCCAGCATCCCTGTGGAACGCTTGACACCTTGTAGAGTCCATGCCCCGACGAATTGAGGCTGTTCTGAGGGCAAAAGGGTGGTGATGGGGGTGCAACTCAATATTAGGAAGGTGTTGTTAATGTTTTGTACACTCAGTGTACAATAGGAATATAGTGCCATTTGGGATGCAACCTTTCTGTCTGTACAGACACGCTGGCTCAGGATGATGTCCTCACATGCAGGGTTACCACCTAACTGGAGCAAACAGGCAGCCTAGGTGTTTGAGGGGATCAGTTTGAGCAAGGCAAGACGTAGGCAGAACCGCTTCATCACATAATGATTAGTTATGCTATTTGAGATGCAAGTTGATTTGCAGTTCTGTGATTCCAACTGCAATGTAACCGATCTCAAACACGTACACTCTGCACGTGCAATCCTGCATCCTTCGTCTTCTTGACTGTGTCCTCACTTCTTTTCTAGTTATAGAAAAGAATACCCAACATGAAATAACCTACATGACATGTTTTAACAAGCTACACTTGAAGTATTAAACTTTCTCTCTTCCATCTTTAATCTCAACAATTGTCTGTGGTGCACCAGTGATAGGGATCTTGTGTTTGTACACTTTAAGACTGTGGACAGCCACTCTCTTTGTTATTAGAACCATGGCAAGTCCATTTTCACTTTCTATATTCTCTGTGGATAACATCAACAGACATCGGCCTCGACTAGATGACTAATGCATTAACCAGACAGAACATCTTGAGGAACATTACCCAACTTTCGAAGATGTGTGGAAACCAGGTACCTCAGTTTTCAGAATGTGCACTAAAGAGTCAAAACCCCTTTTCCTTACAGCAACCCAGGGCCTACTGTTGGAAACGGACTAATTGACTTGAGCATGTTTTTGTATGTTTATAATCATATAAGTAGCCTAGCAATAGTGATTAACGTGTTTTGGGTTAGATGGATGGCCCCCTGAGACAGAATGTTTCCATAAGGGTGAGATAGGAGTCATATGATAGAGCTAATAGATTGCGAACTACTGCCCTGGAACATGTATAGCTTCACTGTTTTGTTAATATGTTTTGCATCATGATATTCACTTGAGTATGAATATATTGCTTATTCTCAAATAGCTCTCTGTATGAGAGGAGAATTAACAATGGACTGCGGCAAGGTGCAAGAATGTATACTCCCTATTCATAAGAAGACTGGAAGATGTGTGGAGGAGTACCAAAGGTTCTGGACTCGGGCTGGGACGATAACACCGCCTGCCAAGCCACAGAGATTCATTGTACATCCTAGACTCAGAAGGGGGGAGGACTTGTCTGGGAAAACAGAGGTGATAAATATATCTATATGTGCTGAGATTCTGTAACTTGTCTTTTGCAGCTGTATGACCCAGTGTGGTTGAACAAATCTAGCTTGAGCTTTCTTCGGAGTCCGACTGGAATTTGTACCAGAAACTTAGAACCTAACGCTACAGAATTAAAGGGGCAATCCGCAATTGAAACAATAGAAAATACCCAACATGAAATGACCTACATGACATGTTTTAACAAGCTACATTTGAAGTATTAAACTTTTTGCTCAAAAATTTTCTCTGCTGCACCAGTGATAGGGATCTTGTGTGTGTACACTTTAGGACTATGGACAGCCATTGTTATTAGAACCATAGTATGTGAGTGGAGTTGAGCAGTCCGAAATCCCGCTCATCGCAACGCTCCGGTGCTCTAAGTCCTTTCCAACGCTCCGCTTAAAACCGCTCCGCACTCAACATTTTTTATAAACGACGCTCAAAATTTGCTCCATTCATTAACATCACAATTTAACAATAGGTAAATAAACCCATGTAATTCCAGTTGATATTGCGAGGGATGTTTTGTTTGCGAAATGCGCTGTCTGTGCGTCGGTATATTGTCTATAAAAGTGGATCCTCGTAATTGTATTTTACTTCGTTTTTAGACCACATACGCCTAATAAAATACTTCAAATGGTAGGCTAACCGCGTCTCTCTCTATCTGAGTCTCTGAATTTCTATCGGTGTCCATTTTGAAAGTGCTGAATGAATAGGCCTACCTCGTCGCAGCTCGTTTGCTTGCATTTGCTTATACTTAGAGCTAAGTGTTTATGAATTTACTGAAAATAAATGTAATAATGTTTGTGTATGGTTCAAAAGTCAAAACTCATGTTGGCGTTCGTTATTATTGAAGGACATTGAGGTTCTTATCGTCTTACACAAATCCACAAGGAGTCAGTTGACACCACATTTGTTTAAGCAAGTCAGCCAAATCTGCTATGGTTTTAAAAAGTCAGTAAATGAGGCTGAATTAACTGTTTCGCTGCCAGACGAGGCTCCGCTGATAGCCAGGTGTAGCGGTGGTAAGGATTCACTCCTTGGTGCTGAAAGCTCCGCTGTCGGGACAGCCTTATGTAGGCCCTAACAGTTTGTGGGCACCGTTTGTCACCGTTATAGTGCAATTAATGTATTGTTTAATGTTGTGTTGTGTAGTGGCTTTGCTGGCATGCATTTAAAGAACATTTGAGTTGAGTTTGCCCCAACAAGATTTACATGCTAAAATCGCCACTGATACAGTGGTATAGTATATGAAACTGTAACCTAAAGTTAGTTATATGTGACTTTATACAGTGGGGGAAAAAGTATTTAGTCAGCCACCAATTGTGCAAGTTCTCCCACTTAAAAAGATTTTCATCATAGGTACACGTCAACTATGACAGACAAATTGAGATTTTTTTTCTCCAGAAAATCACATTGTAGGATTTTTAATGAATTTATTTGCAAATTATGGTGGAAAATAAGTATTTGGTCACCTACAAACAAGCAAGATTTCTGGCTCTCACAGACCTGTAACTTCTTCTTTAAGAGGCTCCTCTGTCCTCCACTCGTTACCTGTATTAATGGCACCTGTTTGAACTTGTTATCAGTATAAAAGACAGCTGTCCACAACCTCAAACAGTCACACTCCAAACTCCACTATGGCCAAGACCAAAGAGCTGTCAAAGGACACCAGAAACAAAATTGTAGACCTGCACCAGGCTGGGAAGACTGAATCTGCAATAGGTAAACAGCTTGGTTTGAAGAAATCAACTGTGGGAGCAATTATTAGGAAATGGAAGACATACAAGACCACTGATAATCTCCCTCGATCTGGGGCAAAAATCTCAAATTTGGACTCATCAGACCAAAGGACAGATTTCCACAGGTCTAATGTCCATTGCTCGTGTTTCTTGGGCCAAGAAAGTATCTTCTTCTTATTGGTGTCCTTTAGTAGTGGTTTCTTTGCAGCAATTCGACCATGAAGGCCTGATTCACGCAGTCTCCTCTGAACAGTTGATGTTGAGATGTGTCTGTTACTTGAACTCTGTGAAGCATTTATTTGGGCTACAATCTGAGGTGCAGTTAACTCTAATTAACTTATCCACTGCAGCAGAGGGAACTCTGGGTCTTCCTTTCCTGTGGCGGCCCTCATGAGAGCCAGTTTCACCATAGCGCTTGATGGTTTTTGTGACTGCACTTGAAGAAACTTTCAAAGTTCTTAAAATTTGCCGGATTGACTGACCTTCATGTCTTAAAGTAATGATGGACTGTCGTTTCTCTTTGCGTATTTGAACTGTTCTTGCCATAATATGGACTTGGTCTTTTACCAAATAGGGCTATCTTCTGTATACCCCTACCTCGTCACAACACAACTGATTGGCTCAAACGCATTAAGAAGGAAATAAATTCCACAAATCAACTTTAACAAGGCACAACTGTTAATTGAAATTCATTCCAGGTGACTACCTCATGAAGCTGGTTGAGAGAATGCCAAGAGTGTACAAAGCTGTCATCAAGGCAAAGGGTGGCTATTTGAAGAAAATCAAATATAAAATATATTTTAATTTGTTTAACACTTTTGTTTACTACATGATTCCATATGTGTTATTTCATAGTTTTGATGTCTTCACTATTATTCTACAATGTAAAAAATTGTGTAGCTACTCACTCAGCAAGGCAATTAAACTGGCAAAACATCAGTATAGAGACAAAGTGGAGTCGCAATTCAACAGCTCAGACACAAGACGTATGTGGCAGGGTCTACAGACAATCACGGACTACAAAAGGAAAACCAGCCACGTCGCCGACACCGATGTCTCGCTTCCAGACAAGCTAAACACCTTCTTTGCCCACTTTGAGGATAACACAGTGCCACTGACGAGGCCCACTACCAAAGACTGTGGCCTCTCCTT